TGACCAGCACCACGCCCGGCCGCCTTTGTCTCCCGAGTGCCAATGTTTACACATCGCACCAGGTACTCATTTGAGGCTGAGTCGACCTAGGGGAGGCCCTCAACTGGTTCAGATTATCGTCACTGGTGTTTGGCCGTAAGTGGGAATCGAACTCGGGTGGCCAGGTTCGTAGCGCAGCGCGCTAACCGCTACACTACCGCTCCCCACCAGAAACACACGCTGATAGACACACTCAGAGACAAAGATGTACACTGACATTTCCCTAGACACACACACGTAGACACAAAGACACACACCGTCACACGCACACACACACATATATATATAGTGCACACCCACAGACAAACAATACAAACATCAGACTGTTGGGACAAGTGGTGTTAGCGAGTACCTATTGAGGCCATCGCGTCGTGCCAAGGGGCGTGTCTAGAATGACATCCGGTTGCCTTTGTCTCCCCAAATGATGATGTCTCCGCACCGCATCACGTGCTCATTTGAGGCCGATGCCCACCTAGGCGATGCCCTCCTAGGTGATGCCCAGGGCCGGCTCAGCAAACACTTGCAACAATGACGTTAGCCGTGTCCGAGAAGTGAACATCGTAGCGGAAGTGCCCTTAACCACCGTGCCACCGCTCCCCGCGCAAACACCAACAACGGAGGCTGTTGGGAGCGAGTGCTGATACGTGAGCACAGCACCACCTATAAAGGCGGACACGGAACAAGACAGCGGTGGTGTGGCCAGTACCACGCCCGGCCGCATTTGTCTACCCAATGCTGATGTTTATACGCACACAAAATACAAAGATCCCCCGTATAGCATTAACAGACTTTTCGGGCAAGTGCACACATATACACATACAAAGAAAAAGACGCACGCACGGAGCCAGCCCCCCGGTGTCCCCATGGCCGCGACTCCCACGAAAGCCACAACAAAATTCAGCCCTTTAGTGGAAGTGACGCACTACAAAGCTAGCAGGTGGCTCACTCAAAACCTTCGCAATTCACGGTACGATTCTGGACCCAGTCGGCAGCCCCCACCCCCTCGCTCATCCTCCTCTATTTTCATCCTCCTGCTCTCCACCACCACTACGTGCCGACCCCTTTCTTCCCCAGCGTTCTCTGCTGAAGTGTGTGCCACTGTCCTCTCTCTCGAGAGAAAAAAAAAGTTGCCACCAGAAGACGCGCGCGCGAGGAGTTTGGATGAGGAACGCAAACGGGGACCCGGCTAGAACACGAAGACAACAACTCACGTTTACGACAAAGACACCCAACACATTGCATGGATGGCGCATCCTCGCTCCTCGCCTCTTCCCGCTGGAGCTCAACGACCAGAATATCCCTGGCATGCGCAGGTGTGCCCATCGACCCCGCCGCACACGCCGCGTACGCCGCGCGCGTTGCCAGACACCGTTTACGCGATTGGCTGGTAGGGTGGGTGGCTGGTGGTGGGTGGGTGGATCTGGTGAGATCGTTTAACAAAGGCTCGGTCCCGCCATACGAACGAGGACTTTCCATCATCGACACTAATACCAGAGCTTTCTGAAAGCGCGAGGAGTCCCAAATGTCGTGTTTTCTGACATCGGGCGAAATGTCTGCGGCTGCAACATCAAACCAGCCAAGGGGTGGCCGCTTTGGTGCACGTGCGCGTTAATTCTCGTATTGTCGGCGATTTGGCCCAAGGACACAGCCGAGTGAATTGAACTACAGTATACTGCAACGAATGACTCTCAACAAGAATGACGCCGGTGTACGATCGCGGCATTCGTGCTGTTGCCGCCGGAACAACGTGGGCACAATCGTACGGCTCTTCATCGAGCTTGCTGGTCGACAGTACGACCTCGCGGCGCCCACCGCGACGTGCAAGTGGCAAGGCGTGCCCCAGTGGGACCGAGTCTCACGGGCACAATCTTCGGCGAGCGAAGGGAACCCCGCCGATTCACATCAACCACATCACCGATTCGTTGGACCCGCCGACCTTTGACCCCCCCCCCCCCCACAATCATCCTCCACCCACCACGACCAAACCCGGACCACGCCGCAACAGCAGCCACCGTTTGTCCAAACAGATAGAAAAGTAGTTCGCGGGCGAAAGATTTCCGCGGAGCGTGAGCCACACGCGGCCCGCGACTTGCAAGCCAAATGTATTTCTGTTTAAGCAGGTGATTAAAGTGGCACTTGCGCGCTTACGTTTCACACGGAAGCGCGAGTCGGGTCCGCCCAGACTTTCACCACCCCCTTACCTACCACGGTCATGATCGCGTTGTCTCTCTACAGTCTACGCATGTGCAAAGTGTGCCTTCCCCACGTGAGCGTTTGCGTATCCACAGGCGCTAGAGGAGAGGGCTTGCCCTTTATTAAGGTTTTGGGATTATTTTTATTATTATTATTGTTGTTGTTTTAAGCAGGAGCCCGGGGACCCCACGACACGCGCTGAGATGACGAACAGGGCTTAAGTTCAGCGAGGGAGAACGAAAAATAAATATACTCGGCTCAACACATCCATTACGACACGTCTCGCGAACGGGGCTGGGGCTGTGGCTGCTACTACTACGACCACTACTCGTTGTCACGTGCCACCTACTGCAGTCTACCAGTTGCGACCTCCGGGAGAAATGTCGAGTGAGAAAAGAAGCCCTGTTTTGGTGAATATTTACAACAGAGATAGGCGCACGAGACTGGCTAGAATAAACGACGAACAGAAACCTTGGACGAAAGGACGCATGCAAGTGTTTTGGTATAAGGGCGCAATTATTGTTAAAATTATATTTTAAAAAAAGTTTCTTAAAATATTGGAAGATGTCCTTTCTACCAAAAAAAGAACCCCCCCCCCACACAAAAACGTCCGATAGGACCTGAAATATATGCTTGTGTGTTCTGCCAAACAAAGGTATCTCAATGTACAGTGTGAGTGTCCAACCAATCCCGACATCATGCCACGTGTGTGCGAGTATTGGGTACGTGCGGTGACGTTCGTCACTGGCATCAACATTGAACCCCCACAACTCGGAGCAGCAGCTATATACTCGGTAATAATAATTATAATATACATGTACAGGGGGCTATAATGCCTGTCGTCATTGAGAACAAAAACAGCAGAGTGCAAGTTTTTCATTTGCGATAATTCTATACCACGGGAGGAGGGGGAGGAAGGAAGGGTTGCCGGGACAGGGCAGAGATGGAGGGGGCAAGTGGTGGGATGGATAATGGGGGGAGGGGTAGGGAGAGGGGGCAAATCGACCATGCACAATCATCAAGTACGGGTCGGGCAGCCGGGTCAGCTGGTACGGGAGAGACACGGTCGCGTCTAACTTTGCCCCCCGAACACTGGGCACGCAGAGGCGCCTGCGATTTGCGGCCAGAAGAGAGTTACCCCTTTCCGTGCGGCAACAACAGGGATGCAAGCAAACAGGAACTTGGGTGGAATATTAGAACACGCAACTATTCACCGCGTGGAAGGGAATCACAATTCCGGTCACAAATGCAGTTCGACGATCCCAATGTTCGAAAGGTGATACTTTAGATGAATGTGAGTGGGGAGCGGGGGCAGTAGGTTGGGATAAGGGGGGAGGGGTCTCTACCTGACTAGGGAGTCCACAGTAACAACGTTCACAGTGACAACCAATGTACATGGGACGAGAAACCTTGGGGGATGTGGTGAGAAGAGCCCGGATGGACATGAGCGATATTCATTCGTGGGTGGTGACGGTGGAGTGATGGGCGTGGAATTAGGAACAGATTGAACATGTGGAGCACCATCATCAGCAGCAGGGCTACAACCAACGCCAAGGAAATCGTCACTGCGACAGTCGCTGTCATCATCACATCCACTACCGCGATCTCTGGCTATGTCCTTTACCAATACAACTGGCCACCACCAAAGACCACCACCTCCACTACCAAAGTCGCTATGACTACCGCCGCCACCACCGTTACCACCGTTACCACCAACACCGCCGATGCCTCCACCACCGTGAGTCCTACCACGACATCGCCCACTCACACCTACACCAGTGATGTCACCATCATCGCCATTCACTGCCAATGCCCTCGCATACACCACCTCCTCCACCGCCACCGTGCGCTGAGCTCCCCCAGAGGACCTGGCTTCTGGCGCCAACGGACTTAGTCCATGAGCCCTGACCAGATATCTCACTCGTTGGTCGCACCTGGGGTAGCATCGTTCGAGTGCTTACAATTTCTCACAGGTGGCCACTAACGGCGAATTAAGTGATAATCACTTGAAATGCGTGGGGCTATAAAAACCAAAACTAAAGAACAAAAAAAATCACCTCTCACTGACCACGTAAATAAATCGGCACTGCTAAAGTGTTGCCTACCCTTTGGTGGTACCGATTGCTGCCCTGGCCCATGGACGACCGCGTTGCAGAGAGGGTGGGGGGCGAGAAACGCACGGAGATGGACACACGCGCACACAAAAACCGTCCAGGTCATCTCCAGTCCCTTTCACAGTCAAAGCCACATTTCCTAGGCCAGGCCCTCTCACTTGCAACAAGCAGGGGCGGTCTGAGCACGGGTGCCTATGACCTCCAGGCGACATCATTCCCCGCCGATGGTGATGGATGTACAGCAACATTGACCGTGCTACGCGTCACGGTGAGGCGAGGAGGAACGGGGAGAGGGGGTGCAATTTGATTTTCCATCGCCTCGTTCGCGCGCACACCGCTCGCTCTCCACGTCGGCCCGCGTGCCACGTGGGGCACAGCGTTTGCATAAATCGCACGTGATGGACAACCAGTTGCCGCGTGCCGTGATCGCGAGGAACGAGTTTTTACATGGACGATACGACGCAGACCCCCCCACCCCCGCGGTCAAAAGCTGTGCGAAATGTGTCCCCCCCCCAGCCCTGTTCCCCCCCCCCCCCCACTCTGTGCATTCACCGGGATCATCATAAGGCCCTCGGGACCCCCCCCCCCCCACTCTCAGGCGCAGATCTTTGCTGGTGGTGAGACTGCCCCACTTACCCCCCCCTCCCACCCCCTTACAGCTCCGCGCCTCATTACCAAACTCCCCCGGCTGACAGACTACATGAGACAAGGGTCGGGATGAAGGGGCTGCAGTGGAGTACACGAGAATCCATTTTCCACTGGCACATCCGAGCCAAGCCAGCGCGGTACGGGTTACGGGCGGCTTCCCCCCCTCCCCCCCCCCCCCCCCACCGTTATGCCGTGGTGAGACGGAATGAAGCCTGCGACTGACGCTCGCCTCACGACGTGTCCCCGATTCGGCTCAGGGGCCCAAGCAAGGGGCCGGGGCGCACGCCTTCGCACGTGCCACCTACGCTCGCCTCCACGTGTTCCGTCGCGCGTCACTCGACAGCGGCACTCGACAGCGGCACGGCTCGATAACGGGTTGGGGGGGTGGGGGGGGAAAGAAAAATAACGACCCGGCACCTTCTCGGTACGCCAAAGAGGTGCCCCCGACTGGCACGGGGCGGGGGGGGGGGGGGGAGAGCGGGAGGACAAGTGCGAGTGGGATGGGACGAGCGAGACGAACGGAGGAAACGAACGGACGGACGACGGGCGGGCGGACTCAATCGTCGTCCTCCTCGTCGCTGTCCCGCATGGACACCCCGCCGAGGCCGCCGCTCTCGTTGACGCTGGCCGTGGCCTCCTCCACCGTGAGCCGCTTGCGCACCGTCTCGTACGCCTTGCCGTGCAGCGTCGAGTCCAGCACGCCCTGCAGCCTGAAGTCGCGGTACATTTTCTGCGCCGGCGAGTCGGGGGTGGGAGGTTTGGCACATGGTGGTGGTGGTGGAGTAGGAGATGAGAGACGTGGTGGTTAGTGTAGCTCGTCTTGCACTGCCTCAAGATTGAAAACTCATTTTCTTTAGAAATGAGTTTTGTTTTAGTTTGTTGTCCTTCACGCCCACCTCCGGTTAGCGTGATTGGCTACGTACAGTGCGACCGGAGTTCAACATACGTAATACAATCAGAGACATTGTGACTCGTGTCGAACGTCAGAAATCTCTAGCAGCCACTCAAATCCATCATCACGAGCAGCGGGAGGACTTCAGTATCCGTGTGGAATCATTTCACTTTTTTTTTGCAATTGACAATTAAATGTTCCGTCACCGTTGCTGAAGTCCCTCGCTGCTCGTGAGGGAATGGCCCCTGGAGGTGTCCACCTTCTCACCAAGGCCACTCATGGCTTCACCTCACTGCTCAAAGTCCCTTGTTCCCAATATCTGTCACAGCTTATGAAGGTCCCTCAAAAGTTGTATTAGTTAGATCGCGTAAATATTAATGTCGTTAAACCATCCACCACCCGACACAGCCAATTAGTAAGGTTTGTCACGTTAACAAAACATGCCAATTCGTTACTAGCAACATAGACGGTCCCTTCACTTTTCCTAACGATCCCTCACTGCCTCCGAAGCATCTCCTCTGCCTCCCGTGTCTCTTGAGACCCACCCACCCGTCCCTTACTACTAAAACTAACACTATTGTGGGTTTTTTTATTTTACCAGGTAAGGCCCACTGAGCTATATAGCTCTTTTTTCAAAAGTGACCTGGCCACAAATGAAAGCTCAACGAAGTGGCTTATGGGGGGATTTATAGCAGTCACATACTCTGAAATTCACGTCGTTAATGTAGAGGGGAAAAACCAGAGAGCCCGGAGAAAAATACACACAATCACAGGGAGAGAGAGAGAGACACACAACCTCCAAATATAGAGCAGGCGCCAGGGGTCGGGATCGAGCCCACGACGTCCTGCATACCGGGCGAAGTCGTTAACATCTCCTAGCCACCGTGATGATGAAGAGAGAGAGCGAGACACGCAAATTAAAAATATACAGCAGGCGTCAGGGTCGGCATCGAATCGACGACCTCCTGCATTCCAGGCGAGGTAGTTGACATCTCCCAGCCAACTGCGGCGCACCTCACCTTGACGACGCGGATGAGCGTCTTGAGCTGCATGACGTGGAGCTGAATGTCGAGGCGGTCGGTGAGCCACGAAGACACCGTGGTCATGCAGCTCGTGTACCATTGCTGTGGCGGGGGGTGGGTGGGGGGTTAGAGGGCGTGCGAGGAACACGAGCGCAAGGATGGAGGTGGGGGGAAGAGAAGGCCGGAGGAAGGTGGTGGTGGTGGTGGGGAGGCAGTTAGAGGGAGTTGGAAGGATGGGAGTTCGAGGATAGAGGATGAAGTGAAGGCCGCAGAAGGACGGCAGCGGATGCAGGGATGAGGAAGAGGATTTGGGGTGTGGAAGTGGCGTGGAAGTGGGGGAAAGGAAATAAGAGGAGTCTGGAGAAAGGGAGCCGTTGAGAGGGAGGATGGTGGAGTGGAGGAAGAGAACGGGGAAAGCCCTGGAGAGGTTGGGGTATTGTCCACCCTGCACAGTGGATGCTCCAGCATATACGCACGCACGCGTACACGCACGCACGCGTACACGCACACACGCATGCACACACGCTACCACACACACACCACCACACACACACTTGTAAAGGCTCACAAACGCACGCTTCAACTGACACAGCAACACAGACGACACCCACATACGGATATCGTATTTTGCCAATTGCCAGTTTTAAACCCCCTCGCTGCATTGGATCAAGGTTATTCACACAGATGTGAATCCCTGCAGCCTCCCACGCACATCGCTGGCGTTGGAAACTATTTATATAAACTAAAACTAAACTTTTTTATTTTGTATTTTACCAGGTAAGTCCCACTGAGCTATACAGCTTTTTATCAGAAGCGACCTGGCCACAAATGATAGCTCAACGAAGTGGCTTATCAAGTGGTAATTTATCGCTGCCAAATACATTAAAAAAGCATGTTCCTAAATGTTGTGGTAAAAACTGGAGAAAAATCCACACGAAAACGGGGAGACCGTGCAAACTCCAAATATACAGCCGTCAGGGTTAGGATCGAACCCACGACCTCCCGTATACCAAGCGAGGTAGTTAACATCTCGCCAACATGGCGCCCCTATACGCACGTGCGCACAAGCGTAAATACACAAACACCCCGCACGCAGGGAGTTGGAAGGATGGGAGCGTCTATGAAAGCCGTCGTCACATCGCACGACGAGACTGCGTGGCCAGCAACACGCCCGGCTCCCTCCGTCTCCCCCAGTGCTGATGTTTATACACACACCGCAGCAGCCAATCGTTTACGGCTGAGTCGACCTACAGGGGGCTCTAGAGGGCAGGTTCTAGTATCGTTCGCCACGGATCTTGATTTGTGGCTGGGAACTGAACTCGTCGTTGTCAGGTTGGTGTAGCAGTGCACGAACCACTACGCCACCACTCGCCACACTTAGAAACACTGACACTTACGTAACCCCACTCAAGGACAAAGATCTCCCGTATAGCCTTAACTGACTGTTGGGGCAAGTGCAGTTAGCGAGCACCTATTAAGGCCGGAACGGCTCGCGAGGGGGTGAGTGGCAAGTATCACACCAGGCCGCCTTTGTCTCCCCAGTGGCGATGTTTACACATCGCCCCAGGTGCTCATTTGAGGCTGGCCTTAAGAGGGACTCGAATTAGGCTTGCTGGATACGAAGTGCAGCGCCCAACCACTGCAACTGTCGCTCCCCACCACCAACACGCACACTCGCGTGTACAAGTGCGCGCGCACGCACACACACCTGCGCACCCGTACATAGGCACCAGAGGTACATGGACACTTGGACATTCACACAAATGAATACACGCATACCCACACGCGCACACACGCTCCTTACACGCGCACTCACTCCACGCAAACCCTATATGCACATAGATCCTGCGTATAGCCTAAACAGGCTGTAGGGACAAGTGCTCTTAGTGAGCACCTGTTAAGGTGGACACGGCACATGATGGGGTGGGTGGCCAGCGCCACACCCGACCGCCTTTGTCTCCCCAATACTGATGTTTACACACACACCGCATCATACACACACACACACGCGCGCTCTCATCAGTGCAAATCTCAGAGCTCATGTATGCACAGGGAGGACGTGTGTGTACGTGTTTATACATGTGTGTGTGTGTGCTGGCGGGGGGGGGGGGGGCAGCTGAGTGGCTCGCATCTCAGACCTCGGCCTCTGGTTAATAAGCTGCCCGAGAGTTGTGGAAAAACCGTTCTGTCCCGCTAATTAGCGTTCGTTAAGAATACCACCGTGTTGTCAAGGAATGGGCCAATGCTCCTCGGTTGAACCCCGCGGTAATTCTCTGCATCACTGCACGACGACGTAATATGCCGTCTATTTAAATGGGAATTAACTATGGATGGATGTAATCGACTGGCGCCCACGGAATGGAACACGTCCGGGAGAACTTACACTGAAGGAGATGGAGCGATGAAAATCAACTCGTGTGTAGGTGCCTGCTGGATTGTTACATTGTCGGATTGGGATGAGAGCCGATGGATTTGGGGAGGCCTTCATACAGCAGTGGCTTGACCAAAGCTGATATATTCTTCCAGACATAGGCAGCCGTGACTGAGTGAGCTACTCGTGTAGATTCTAACATTTGCTCTCGGTGGTCTGGGACGCTTTGAATTTGGCACAATTACAATGAAACCGATGCTTATGGCTACAACACGAATTATGGCGCAGATGTCGATTGGTGTCACTCGTGGGGCAGAGTCTGCTGAGAGATCCGCGTCACTTTCATCTCGTGCCAAACAACGTCAAATACTCGATGCCCATCATCAGCGCACCGAGTAATTCGCCTCGCGAGCAGCGCGACAATTAACGCCGGGCACGTCTTTGGGAGGCGACGGTGGGCGTCGGTCGAGTCGAACGACTAGCGAGCGGGCAGCCACAGCAGAGGGAACGTGCCCGAAGGAGACGGAGCGACGAATTCAGCTCGCGGTGCGTGGCAATGGGCGAAGCGCGGCATCGTTGCCGGACCACGAGAGATGGCGGCAGCATGGGGACGAGAGGTCCTCGCGCCGTGGCTAAAATCATGGCCAACGATGATGATGACGATGACGACGATTGTTCAAGTTCCCGGCAAAACACTTGCGCGCACGAGGCGCGACCCCCCTTTCCGTGACCTCCCGCACTGGTCAGCGGTCACATGAACCACGTGTGCACGTTTCCCCATGATTCCTTGGGGCTGAGGAGGGAGGTGGGGAGGCAGTGGAGTGAAGAGGTGAGGGGGGGGGGGCGGCTGTGGGGGGGAGGGGGGAGTCAGGTGGGGATGGGTTGGGGGGTTGGGGGGTGGATGGGAGGTAGTGGTTGGTGGGGAGAGGGATTGTGAAGAGCAGCACCACCGCTAGGACATGTGCATGGAGAGGCAGTGGGTAGCAGTCCCTGTGGCGGGGGAGGGGGCGGGGAGTCGGGGATGCTATCGGTTCACGTGGCATCTTCAGAACTGCAGGGGGGGGGGGGGGGGTTGCCGCTGTCTGTCATTCAACGTTAAACGACCGCTGTGAACCGGACCGCGCTTCCAAGCCACGATTTCCCAAACTCCAGCTGTGGCCGCAACGCCACTGCCGCCACCACCACGGTCGACCCATTCTGTGCGTGCCAATCTGTTACGTTCAGATCAGACATACCAATCAAATTCGGCACGTACTGCACGCACCTGATGATTGCTTGCTAAACACGCCCAATGTCACGTGGGGTGTGGATTAAATTAATATTTGGCAGCAATGTGTCCATGAGCTGGATGGCAATGTCGAGGCTTGCTAGCCACGAGGGGGCTTCAGGGGAGAGATATTTGTGTAGTTTTGCTATTCTTCCGCCGTTTAAGGAGCGAACACTTTAATTCGGATTCAAATTACTGCCAGACAGAGGCGGATCTAGAAACCTCCCAAGGGAAGGACAAGGGTGTGGTCGTGAAATGTAAAGTTTTACTTCGGGCCCTACATTCATAAAATAAACATATTGCATGTATTTTATCTGGTAAATATTAATAGAGTACCACTTTTCAGGGGTCTCGGGGGTCTGGAGGGAGGGGGAGGCGGATGCTTGCCCCCTTAACGTGTAGAACTAATGACTGGAATTGAGACGGGGATCGTGTGTGAATGCACAGCACTTGCCCCAAAAGTCTGTTAATACTATACGGGGAATCTTTGTCGTGCACATGTGTGCCCCACAGTGCTCTTACGATCATCGCCCTGCATCACACGACGCCTATTTAAACAATCATCAGGCGCGTGCGGTGTATAACGACGCCTCGATTTTACTTTCGAACGAAGATGTCTGGATCGACTGTGGTGGACTTACGAGGTCTGGAGGTTTGGGAAACCATGACTGAAGATCCTCCGCTGTAGTGAGACTGGGGGGTCTGGACTGGATAGGCCAGCCCCCCACTCCCAATCTCACGTCTCACACGTACACACAGCAGCGCTCTCTTAACCGCGTCACAGTTGAGGAACAAACTCGTGAGAAACTAATTCTAGATTTGAAGCTTTCGTGACTGCAAGGATTCATACTCTTAGGTTGTTTTCTTTCGGTAAAGTCACGTAGGTAAAAAATTAAATAAAAATTAATAAAAGTAATAATAGGAAATGTATTATTATTTATTATTTCATTTTATTTCGTAAGAAACTAGCCCACGAATAACAGGAGGAAGAGGCGGCTTAGCTTAAAACATAGTCGACCATTATATTGTGATGCGCAACTGAGTTTTGCGTTGAGCTGCGTATCAATGCGCCTGCCATAGATCTGCCCAAGAACCTTCCACCATCCGACATAGCCAAATACATTTAATGGTCACGTGTACGAGCGTTTAACGATGCGCCGGTCGGCATTGGCCAAACACTGCATTGTTGAGCGTTTGCCCTCTTGTGCGGGAGGATGGCAAAAATACTCATAAAGCTCCACACATAGATGATTCAATCCAGAGAGCTCAAGACACATTTAATCTGTGCCTGGCAGCCCACTGCCCATTGAGTGTTAGGACAGCCGAGATCCATGTAACGGGATAAATTACATACATACACGATCGGATCTAGAGTTGGTCCTTTAAGACTCGATCTCCTGCCGCGTTGGCAGTAGACGCTGAATCATCCCCAGGAATTGTCTCGATTCAGGGTCGCGATTCAAGTTCAACAGATCGATTATTGTCTCCTGTTTCGTTTGCAATCTCTCCGTTCGTGTGCCGTGTCTCGCTTGTGGCGTGGCGTTTACGCAGTGTCAAAGCGGGGCTCATCTTCTGTTTACAGCCCAGAGCCAGTGGTGGAAATTCCACGATCCTATGTACCGGGGTCGTTCTTCTAGCCCGTAAGGCCAAACACCTTTGACTTCCCCACGTAGTGGCACTCATTTTTTCCGAGACGGCACAAACGAGCCTCTTCAAATCGCAGCTCTGAATTATTGACAATTCACAGACTCGTTGGCTGGCAGGGGGCGGCGGGTGAGTAGTGGAGCGAGAGAGACAGAAATGATCATCAACACGCCCAATACACACACACACAACAATAACAACGGTCCTGATTCACAGTGGTCTGTCAATCCGCTGCGTCTGGACGTGTGAAGGACACGGCAGCCGACGCAACACGGCAGTTCGTAAAAAAGACACCGTCCACTCAGCGGCAACAACCCCCCCCCCGCCTCGTTCCGTCCGTGACAGACGCCAGCGTGTGTGGGTGTGCGCTGGCTGCGTGGCGATGGTGCGTGGTGAGGGAGGTGCGACGATGCGGGGGGGGGGGGGGGTTGGAATCTGAGGGAGGGGGGGGGGTGCTGGGGCTCGGCATGGGGAGTGACGCATGCAGACACACACACAAAAGGGGAACACAAGTGGTGGGGGGGGGGGGGGGCTGCAGCCCCACCCCTCCTTCCCTCCTCCCACCCTGAATTTAAGACGCTGAGAATGATTATTCCTTAAATAGGGCCAAATTGGGACTTTTCATAACTGTAAGAGAAAATTGGCAATAACTGCTGTTATGTAAAATCAATGGAAGCGGCGTGAAAATGCGAGGGTAATTGATCCATATGGGTTTTAAACTGCTTACAAGAAGTGTATGTTCATTCATCGCATCTGTCACATATCTGTGCTCTTCTGTCTACACCACAAGCGGTTAATCGTTGTGCGCGCATCGCTGTCTGGAGAACCCCTCCTCGACCGCCCCACCAATGCCGACGAATTTAAAGTCATTTGGAAAGTTCACAAGACACGCAGGTTACCCGAACTAAGTAAAAATTAACGTTCATATTTTTTTCCAATACCTTTTAAATTCAATAACCCCCACCCACCTCTGCTTATCCGCTCTAGGATTTTCAAGAGCCGTGAGAATCTGACGGGAGCCCCGTTTCATGATCATACAATGGATGGGCATCTGCCATTGCCTCTCAATGGGCTTCCCAACTGGTTGACAATGAGAGACCCCTGCTTTGATTGTGACGCTGAAGGCCAGCGAGGGGTGTGTACAATAAACACGCGCTGAATCGAGAATACAAATCCCATCAATTCACACGGGTGGCATTGTGCTTACCCAATAACCACCACGACGGGAATTAAAGCCATTATTTTTTAAGACAGGCGCCAAAGACATCTCCAGTAATCTTTTCATTTTTGGCAGCAGCGATAAAATAAACAGGTTCCTCGGCCCAACGTTCTGAGAACCCCACGACTGCCATTTATTAACACAATCCGATTAATTTCTAGATGCCCCACCGATCTCTAAAAACACAGGCCCTCTCTCTATGCTTCCTTCTCGCTAGCCGATTGAATAGTCGTGAAAGCGATAGCTCCTTCGAACGTACAGAGGAGAAGAGGCTTGAGCGATTTAATGAGCACATTGCGATCGGTGGGAGACACGTAGAGGCCTCGGTTTATTATTTAACTCTTACCTATCGCACCTGCATTCAAATTAAACGGTGTCAATTTAGCCCAGATGGCGGTATCAGTTGGACTCAAGGTGACACGAGAGCACCACGGAATACGTGGGGCCACCGGGAGGAAACCGCCTCCCAGCAGAGGAGGAAGCACCCAAACGACCCTGACTCTCTCCAGAAGCCCTATCTCGTCATTTAGTTCCGGAGCGTATTTGCGATGCGCAGAAATAACAAGAATTGTACTACTACGATTCGACCGTTAGTCCAACGAATTCAGCTTACGCGATCTAACCCCAAAACCCAATTGTGAATCACGTAGAGGCTACGACATTAAACGTTATTCTCTAGAATTTATCCCCGTTCCTATCACCGGTTGTTCATAAACTTGCCATGTAACTCAACGGTAGAGCTCGCAGTCGGAAGATTGTGAGTTCAGTACCTGGTTGGGGGTGGGTTGACTGGGCCCACAATCCCCCCAGGGGGTCAATAAAATGAGTACCTCTTCATAGCTACTCTGTGACAGTCCACCGTTGTTGGCACACTGCGAGAAACAGAAGAGCAACAGCCTCAGTGCTAAGTTGAGCAGGAAATCACTTCGACCTTTTTGTTGTTGTTGACAGTCCGTAAATGGATCAACCCCGCACTTTCAAACGTCAAGGGTCCTAAATGCGTTCCACCGTTCGAGCTACGGCGGTGTCTGATCGCCAGCGGAGGGGGGAGAGAGGGGGAGAGGCAAGGAACGCGTGCGCGACAGGGAGGGCGGTGGGAGGACAACAGGGGAGGGCCACAGGACAGGACAGCACACGACCCACACAGCAGGTGGAATCGGGGAAACTGCTCGCTCCGTGGTAGCGAAACCAGTGACACCCCCCACCCCCCCCCCCGTTATCATCGCTCGTCAAAGCAGATAACGATGCGCCCAGAATTAAATTACGAATGACAGGGAAAAAAACGTTCTTGAGAATGAATGATTAAATGAAATGCTACCGATATGCAACGGTTGCCCCTCCCTGTGGTGGCAAGGCCTAATACTGGCCTAGCGATGCCTGGAATGACAAGGCAATGATCGGCTTCTAGAGTGAGAGGAAGCAGGAGGCCGTGTGGCTCCTGGGATCAGACACATTGAGCTAGTGATGCTGAGATACTACTAGGTTCAAATTTGGGTATCAACCACTAGTGATTGAACTGGATTCTCAAATGTAGTGAGCTGATGGTTTCAACCACTCAGACTCCAATTATTGCACCTAAAAAAAGTGTAGCTTTGCACTTAATTTGCCTCAATTTAATCCCTGACAATAAAAAAATATGTCGATTTGACTTCCGCACGACAAACATCTCTATACAGCTGGGCAGTCGCGCCTTGGTGGTGCGCAGATAAAATAAGTGATGAGAAAGGAATCTCACAAGTAGTTCTGCCATATCTGCTTCCGAATGAGCCATTCACCAATAAACAAGGCGACGCATTTCTCTGCGCAAGAACCGAAGGGACGCTTCATCAGACGATGGGACGCCGACAGCACAGATTGAATAAAATTGAGCAAAAACAATGAAGTGAGAGGTGATGCTGCGGAGCCTGTCTCGTTGCAGCCACGTTTGGTGGGAGACCCCTTGCCAAGTGCTGCTGCAGACACGGGCTGGCTCTGCCACCAGTGACTGCACCCCCTTCTCCCCTGGGCTGGGTGTGGAGGCCTGGTTCCTTAGAAGCACGGCCTCATCATCATGGTATTTTTTTCTTCTACAAACGCGAGGGTGGAAATCATCACAGCAGGAGGGGCTCTCAACTTTCTCTGCGTTGGCCGTGCAATGATGATGGGCTTAAATTGATCGGATCCTCCTCCCACTCCGTGATTTGCTTACCTTTCCTATACTTTTAAACTGCTAGCATTTGTTTTATTGTTTTGTTGTTGTAACTTTCTGACCCGCCCCTACTGGACATCTGTGAAAAATACCTTCATATGAAAGGTCATTGTATTTCCCCAGGACAAATAAAGATCCCGATTCTGAACTTTCAGTGCGTGCACACGCATTACACTGCCAGTATTCTTAGAGGCCTAATTCTAATCCCACGGACAACACGCATGTGATATTAAGGGACCTGCCGAGAAAGAAGCGGTTCGGAGTTGGTGGCCTGCAAGACGCTGTGCCCTCTAGAGCCCCCGGCACGTGGTCCCACGTGCCGGGGACTCTGGAGGGCACAGCACTTATGGCATGCCTCCAGGCACGGCAGGTCCCGAAATATTACGGGAAAGAGTTTTGGCTGGGAACCGAGTAAAACGCAAGGACGGCACGTGGACAGGACACACGGAGACGGGGAACGGGGGGGAGGGGGAAACTTGTGTTGAAAGTGGGCCTGGTATTGTTGCAGTTGTTGTGTTGTTGTTATTGTTGTTGGCATTCGTGGTGGCTTTGTGAAGTATGCCTTTCACTGTTCAGGCGCTGCAAGATTTGCTTGAGGGGAATTGCGGCAGAGAAAGTGACATCACATTTGTGGTATACAGTAACATGGGACTTGGTCCGGATAAAGTGGGCTTGGGCAAAGTTCTTCACAATATATTAAAATTGAAACCCAATAAGCAGATGCTAAACTCACCTTAATGATGTTGAACCTGCCAAAACACCCGAACGCTGGCCGTATTAGATATACAGACCATAAACTCGCTTAAACACCATAAACACCTTCACCTGGATCTAAGCACCATGAATCAAACCTAAAGGCCCACCAACGCAGCATGTGGAGGCCAAATGAGAGCCGGTGGATCCGAGTTCACGGTAAGGAGTGTAAATTGATAACCCTTGTTCTGTCCATTTAAAAATGGAGCAGGAAAGAGTAATCCAGTCTGGGACGCCTTAACCGTGCTTTGCAGACCACTCGGGCCAGGCATTGTCTGTGACTTTGTCGGTGTGGTATTCAGAAAAAAACATGGAAAGGGCTAGGTCCTATTCTGAAATTGGTTGGGACTTTATTCTGAATTGAGTGTCCTTCTGACTGGTCACAGCAGGCCAAAATCGGATTCTAAAGATAAATTTGACATGTAATTACAAACAACTTAAAAACTAGATACACTGCCATATTGCTTCTTTCTTTTCTGATAGCTTATCAAAAACGTAAATGGCGTCTTTAAGAAGAGAAAAATATTGCCCCCCGAACTCCCCCGTGATGTCACTTCCTGTGCCACCATTCCCTGGTTGCCATGGTGACTTACGTCGAACAGCCTCTCAATGTACATTTCCTCAGTGACGCGCTCGCGCAAAATGTCCTGGTTGGCTCGCACAAACGTGATGTACGAGTCAGCCAGGTCCGCGCCCGGCTTCTGCCCCCCGAGAGGGACAGAGGAGATTCAGGGTTTTGTGGGTGAGGTGGTGGGGGTGGCGGAGGTAATGGAGGGAGGCAGAGGATGGAAGGGAACGGGGAGGGTCAAGATCATGAGAAGAGAGAGAGAGTAAGGAGAGAAAGATCGGGGGGAATTTGTAGTTTCCGGGGATATATTCAAAGGAACGGGGAAGGTGATGTTTTGTGGCAGAAAGGAGAGAGAGAGAGGGAAAGAGCGAGATTGAGAGAGGGAAAAAAGGGCAGAGGGGTGATAATCACAACAATGATAAAATAAAACGAACAAAAGGTGTTAATGGCGGGGGGACACACAGAGAGCACGCATTACTATTGCGCACAGTGAACGCACGAGGCCGGCGCGATCCAAAACCGCCGGAATTGCGAGGGGTCGCGTGGTGAATTCGTGCCGACGCGGCTCTCTCTGGCTCTCTCGTGCGCGACGCTTTGCGGGTGAAAATACGTTACGGCTTGGCGAGGAGGCACTCACAGGCACGTCCACGTATTTAGAAGCAGCTTTAACCTGTACGGGGTCGAGAGGGGGGGGGGGGTGAGCGACCAACAAAAAACAGACAAGACAGACGCCGTCGCCATCTCTCACCAACCTTCACCATTGAACGCCATTAACGAATTTCTGACGGCGCCGCGAGTGCCCGTGGCCGGCGCGGCCGCCGCTAATGCTCAGCTCAAGGTGGCCCTCCATTGTGCGAGGCGTGGGGGGGGGGGGGGGGACCAAATCGGGAGAGGTTGCGTGCGGAGAATCTCTCTCTGGAATCTCGCCCCTCTCTTTGTAAACAGGCAACGGGCAGGGAGCGGCGGGCTAAGTGGGTCCTTTCCGCGCACGTGCGTACGAATCCGTTCGATAGCGGACCGGCTCTCAGAAACACCTCGCCGAATAATCGCGTCCTTTTATTTCTCATCCCGGCGGAATCCACTCCGGGCCGCTCGCGGTAAGCGGCACGCTGAATGCTGGCAAGTGACCGTGGGCGCCTCAGTCGAAAATTCAACGTTTAAAATTTAAGTCAATTCGCCGTTTTACACAAGTGCTTCATCATGGCCATTCTGCAGGCAAAATAAATTCTCGAACAGTGACGACTCCATGAAGAATTGTTCCATGTGCCTGGTTACGCCAGCACAGCAATGTCGGCAGCAGTGACCTTGGCTCGTTCGCGATCACTTTCGCGATATAGATTTTAATTTTGATATCCATTTTGTTCTCTTGCCCAGGTGCGCTGTGTTTTTGAAATCACGCGAACGGATTGTCCAGTGTATAGCTGGGATTTTATTTTTTGAGGAATGAGGGGAAGGTGGGGGGGGGGGGTACTTTTAAAAACTGAAAAAAAAGTAGAAAAAAATATATGTAAGTCGAACAACCCGAGTTCGCAAACTGAACATCGCGCAGCAAAGCAATGGCGCGGAATCGTCACGAGGCTCCAGTCAGTCCCAGTTTAGCACCACACTCTACAGCAATGAATGGCGCATTCCAGAATCATTGTCATTTTCTGCTGCGGTTTTTTTGCACCTTTACGGAAAATATTATTAATTAAGGAAGCCATAAAGCAGGGGTGGGGAACGTCCGGCCCGCGGGCCATGTAAGGCCTGCAAAATCATTTAGTCTGGCCCTGCCAAGGCAACCGCAGACAGGACTCAAAATTCAATAAATCTAGGCGCAAACCTGGAAAAGCAGTTGCGAGTAGCAACAGCATCAATACCAGCTAACAATACATGCCTCACCAAAGAGAAGCAGTTCCAGCCATCACATTAGGGGCGAGTTAATTAAATGTTTGACCAAATATAACAGGCTAATTTTTAAGTTGATAATTTTGTATGGCCCGCGAATGATGTTTCAATATCCAAATGGCCCTTGGCAGAAAAAAGGTTTCCCACCCCTGCCATGAAGCAACATTACAAGCTGGAAACGGGCTACTTTGGCCCATTATGGGAGATAGCACGGTTTTGTTAAGGGAGTGGATATCAGAATCAAAGTCATAATTTAGAATGGAGGAATAACAATTAGCTATGAAGCTCTTTTTCACAAATGTCAAGTAGTGTGTAACATGTTACCCCCGTATAACAGGGGTAAGGGGCCGTCCATAAATGACGTCACGCACCTGGGGGGGGGGGGGTCAGACATTTGTGACGATGTGTGACGAGGGGGGGGGGGTTTGAGAAATGTGACGTCACATCAAAATACAATTGTTATCACAACACTCCTACAACATCAGAGTGCAGCGCCACATTCAAGCGATTTGAAGCATGTTATATTTGGGGGGGGGGCAGAGCTTTGTGACGTCATATTTGAGGGGGGTCTAACTTTTTGTGACGCCGTGTGACGAGGAGGGGGGGGGGGGGCAAAAATCGTCCAAAATCGTGTGACGTCATTTATGGACGGCCCCTACCGCCAACACTTAAGTAGGCCGGTACTGTGGATACATCTTACAAACACCACCTTACGTAAATCCAGTGCTCACCCATCGATGAGCAATGGGGTGCGGGAGGCGGGATTACTGGAGGGAGAGTGTTGGGGGGGGGGAGGGGTGACGTCTTACCGTGAAGGACAGGAAAGAGGAGAACAAGGTGCCCTCGTCGTAACGAGACAGCTTGGCCAGGATGCCCTCCAGCACCACCACCAGCTGCACACCCACGCACCACAGCAATCGCGTCAGGGCGTGCGCGCTCCACAAACACAGGACGACAAAAGTTGCCTGGCCAGCTGGAGTGGAAATCGTGCGGCGGAGTGGCCGGGTGGACTTGCGCTCTCACTCCCGTCGTCATCGTCGTTTTTATTGATAGCAAAAAGCCTCCCCGTGCAGTTACAATCTCGAGGAGCCAGAACAAAGGTGGCACCTGAGATCATGAATCAGCAGGGGAAGTGATCAAATACCAAATACGACCTTCAAAAACAACGGAATATTTACATTCTATAAACTATTTTATTTAATAGCTAAAGCCCACTGAGCTATGAGTGTTTTTTTAGGCGACCTGACCACATATGATAACTCATCGAGTGACTTATCACATGTGGAGGGGGTGAGGGGGGGGGGCAAACCCGGAGGAACCCGTAGAAAAACCAACACGACCAGCACGAGGAGAGAGCATACACGAACTCCAAATATACAACAGCAGGCATCGTCAGGGTCCGGGATCGAACCCACGATCTCGTGCAATACCGCGCGATGGAGGTAACGCCGCCGCGCCCCGGTTTAGACGGTGTATTGACTGTACACACCACACGATAATACAACACAATTGGCAATCTAAAACCTTGCTCAAGACTGTAATTAGTACGCTTTCTGAAGCGGACTAGTTACCAAGGTGGCATAGGTTGACTGACTGAGATGGCTGGACGATGCACCACCTGTGCCCCCCTACTTTGGCAAAAGCAAATGCACACACACACACACCTCTCCCAGCCAGGATTTAATAAAAGACAATCTCTAACGAGAGTATCTAACAGTGGCGTTCAAACTGAAGATGGTAACAGCAACTGTGAAGGAGGAAACTGGCTCCCCGTTTGATATTAACTCTGGGAAGCTTCTGTTTTTGGTGCCAGCTTTGCACCAATTGCTGGCACGAACAATGCAAATAACTCCATTCGTGGAAATGGAAAGATGGGGCAGTGTTGGGTGGGGGGGCCCCCACTCTCAGGGTCATGGTTCCCGGTTTGTGTACCACGCAACTCAAAGGATGCCGGTTTTTATTTGTGGACGAACCTTGGCCACCATGATGCCGATCATGTCCTTGAATGTGTCTTCAATTAGCTGCTCGATCTTCTTCTGTTGCTGCTCGCACACGAACACACACACGTACACACATAAACACACACACATACATGCAAGGAACAAATATGCACTCAAGAACACATCCACGTACACTCGTGCACACACGCGTGCTCACAAACCAATAAGTGACGGTGACGTCACCACGGTGCCTGTGCCAGGCCAGGTGCACTTTGAGGCCACGTGAAGTGTCGAAGGCTCGCCTGACAGACCCAGGTGCCATGGGATGGCTCACAAACACATGCACACACATACACGTTGGAACGTGCATGAGGAAATAGACAGGATGGTCCCCCAGCTGGTATAGCCGTATAGACCGGTGGGATAAATGTTGTTAGCGAGTATCTACAAAGGCCGGCATGGCACATGAAGGTGGTGGTGCGGCCAGGATCACGCCCAGCCGCCTTAGTCTCCCGAGCGCCGATGTTTTCTGCACATGGCACCGGGTACTCATTTAAGGCTCAGTCGACCTAGGAGAGGCCCCTAGGTCGACTGAGCCGACATTGCCGCCGGGATCATAGCGTAGTGTGCTAACTGCGACACGATAACTCCCCGAACTTCTCATATACAAATACCAAGATCTCTGTGCAGCCTTAACATATTGTTTGGGGCAAGTGCTTCATATTCGCAAACACTGCGAAATGCCATCGGATATGGAGAGGCCAAAAGGCCTCCCGATTCTGTTAAATATGTGAAAGGCTGATGGCTTTTCCCGAGAGGGAGATAAACCCCCCGCACCCCCCCCCTCCCCAGTTTCGAGGAGGGGGTTTGGAAGATTGGGCGGAGGGGAAGGATGATGAAACGGTGACATTGAAACAAATTAGGAATTTTAAAGAGGCGCTTTCAGGTAGCTCAGTGAGACACGGACCCATTCCGATACGGAATGTGTAATTGCACGCGACAAAGAGACGCGCGCACAGCCAAGGACGACTCTCAGGATACGCGCACGGGGACGCGGGTGTGCTGCCGCACAAGCGCACACAGGCGGGGACACACACGCGCTCGTTCACGCGGATACGTGCACGTGAGCCTACATAAGCACACGACTGGGGTAGGGCACGTGAGTGGTAGCTACAGCCACGGCGAGAAATATACTGGGTTATTTAATTTATTTTGCTGCTGTAAATTTCCACGGAACAAACCACTTTTGTTGAGCTGTTATTTGTGGCCAGGTCAATGCTGAAACATAAGTTTCCTGGTAAGATAAAAACATTTGTTTAGTTTTATTTGCATATTTTTTAAAGTGGTTTATTTACCTTTCCTATCCCGTACTTTGCACTCCCCTATCCTGTTTTTGTACTGTTTGTTGACCCACCCCTACTGGACATCTGTGGAAAAGAGCTTTATAGCTAATCGGATTCCTCCGGCAGTATAAATAAACATGGATGTAGTGTGCCCATTGGATCAATCTTTTCCGGATTCATTTCCGCCGGTCAGAACCAGCTGAAGTTAGGCCCTGGGCGTGGAGGGCACGGATGGGTAGCCCCACGGGCACTGTGGCTCGAATAGAGGAGAAACTCCCCTCCCCTTGATTGACTTGCCAGGGTGGGCACAAAACAAGAGGGAGTTGAGAGATGGTAAAATTTAAAGCGGGGGGGGGGGGGGGGGGGGTGGAGGTACAAAGAGGGACAATCCAGATGGATGAAAAAGGCCACGTGGCCGTAGACTGGGCGCTCACGCCACACACTGCTGCCTTGCACAGGTCCACACGTTGCGAATGGAGCCATGCACTTTTAAATAGATATTGAAAACTCATTTCTCTAGAACTGCTTTTTGTGTTTCGTTTTTTTGTCCTTCCCCCAGACCTCTGGTTAGCACGGTTGGCTACGTATGGTGTGAAACATACAAACATTCTCTAACGATATCTGCAATTGCCCCATTGTCTCCGGAGAAAGAGAGCTCTTTATTTTCACAGCAGGGTTGCAAGGCCGCACGTCGGCACGCCTCCCCCTCCCCTCTCCCCCTCGCCCTCCCCTCCACCACGGCTTCCCATCTAGAAACCAACTTCGTTTCAGCAGCAGCGTATATAAACGCAGATCGTTCGGCGCTGATGGGTTTCTTAAGTCTGCGCGTGGCACACGTGAGTACACACGACGGCAATTTTTGGGATATGCGCGGTGACGAAGATGGCACTGGACAAGGGTGATGATGGAATGTAATGATTGTGGGAATGGTGACAATGATGACGATAATGATGATGATGAACACGTGGTGAAGTGTTGAGTAAGCGGTGAGCATGGATGGTGATGATGATGCGGATGACGGTGATGATGATGATGGTGATGAATATACCGGTTGTGATAATGACAATTGACAGTGATCATGAGATCAAAGATGATGATGATGATGGCGGTGGTAGTGTTGACGAAAACGCCAGTAACACTGGTGACACTGGTTATTGCGATGAAATTGATGATGTGGATCATGCTGATGACACTGATGAGACACTGGTGACACTGGTAACGCTGACAATACTGATGATGCTGATGACACTGATGGAACTGATGATGGCGAAGACGCTTATGACACCGATCAAGCCGACGACACTGATGACGCCGAAGATGCCGATGACACCGCTCGCGTCGATGACGCCCGTGACGCCCGGCCACACTGACGATTCCCGCGAAGGGCCGCGCACCTCCTTGGAGCTCTCCAGCGCCCCTCCTAGCTTGGCCGTCTGGCCCTTGGCCTCGACCAGCACGTTGAGCATCGTGCACACCGACTGTGGCGTGCGGAAGTCCGTCGAGCGGCTCGTCTTCGCCAGCTTTGCTTCAAATGCAATCCGCGTGCTGGCGGGGGGGAGGGGGGGGTCACATGCACGGGGTCACGGGGGTATCGGGGTCATGAATGGAGATGTCACCCCATCGGTGTTGCCAAATCCTGAGAGTGAAAAAAGTCGCCGAAGGAAGATCAGAAGGCCACGCGCAACAGGCCTTTTCAAAGGGTAAAGGATCAGCCCTGCAATTTCTTGCTCATGGAACTGCTGGCATAAGGGCCTCCACTGGTGGGAGGAGTTCTAGAGAGCCCCTCAATTGAGGGCGTTTTGGCCTACTCTTCCACAACGGCCACACGTCTTGCGAGAGAGATTCCTTTTAATGTCGTCAAAAACGTCACTTGGCATTTCACCGAGCGTTACCGATAGACAATTGCTACAGAAACCTTGATGCAAACCTGGAATTATGCGAGTCGTCGTTTTGGACATGTCGGCGGCTAGAGAAAACCACAAAGGTCGCTAGGAATCGAGTGATAAAATCACCGACTTGGCAACACCGGCTCCACGCCCGTGGGGGGGGGGGGGGGGGGGGGGTTGGAAGCGGTGGGGGGGGGGGGGGTGGGGCGGGGGGGGGTCCGGTCCCCTGTTGAAGACTGCGCGCGGGAGCGAACGCGAGGCCTCACCGCTTGACGCACGTCTGGATCATGTCGCTCGCCATCTGCTTGAGCCGCCCCTCCAGCTGCTCGCCGAACTCGGGGTCGGGCCAGTGCAGCCCCGACACGAAGCTCTGGAGCGTGTCCAGCTTCCAGAAGAGGTCGATGGACTCGGCGGACTCGTTACTGGCGGGCGATAACGTGCGGGCGGGCGGCGGGGGGTGGGAAATCGCACGACATCAGGGAAGGGGGCATGGCAACAAGCGGGAATCGCGTGACATCGCACGACCCGGTGCGCGCGGGGGTCATGCGTCACGATGGCACGCGTGTAGCCGTAGAACTGTCGGGGCGAGTGGTGTTAGCGAGCACCGACGAAGGCCGGCACGGCACACGAGGGAGCGGGCGGCCTACGCGATGGCCGGCCCGCCTTTGTCTCCCCAGTGCTGAAGTCGAATACACACCGCACCCCCTACGATTATCACGGTTGGTTAGGTATGGTGCGAAAGAAGTTCACCCCCGCCCACGCGACATGTTGGGGGGGGTGGGGGGAGAGTAACGCCACGGACGCTCACTCCGAGTTGTAGATGGAGGAGACCCACGAGGGGGCCGAGAAGCTGGGCAGGTTGACGGGGGGCAGCGTCACGGGGGGCAGGGTCACGGGCACCTTGGGCAGGTTCCCCGTGAGGCTCCTGCACCGATGGGGGGGGGGGGGGACACGGGAAGGAAGAAGCAAGACACAGAGGGGGAGGAGGGAGACACGGGGGCCGGGGGGGGGGGAGAAAGGAGACATGGGGAAGAGGAGGGGAAACAGGGAGGAATAAGAAGACGCGGGGAAGAGCGGGGAGACGTGAGGCGTAGGGAAGAGGGAGACAGGAGGATGAGGCGAGACACGGTAGGGAGGAGGGTGAGGTGGGGGGGGGGGGACGAGGGAGGGAGACACGAAGATGCACACAGTCACAGCGTGGAGGTTGCTTGGTTCCCATTACGGGGCAGGGTCAGCTGCGAGTTTAACACCGCTCTCAGCCTCCTGCTGAACACTGACAAATAAGGGGTTTAACTTCAGCTGGGTTTTGGGACCCACAAAATATTTCCACACCGGGCACTCCCCATTCGGTGCACTCCTCGCGATGGCTGGTGGCTGTGAGTCACGTGCCTACAACATTACCAACGAGAAATCAAGCGCTGCTGACGAACGTATGATCCCGATCACCCGTCGAGTGAGCAATTCGCCTTCTGTGGAGCGCGGACAACAAACGCCGCTGCAGAACAGGCAAAGCCGTCTATCGCGGATATTTATTGAAGGGGAGAATGTGTTCAAAGCCTATGCATTGATCGATATTCGTTTATTGGGTTGGGCCACGTGGTAGTTGTCATTCACTCTCACCACCCGACACGGTTGTCACGTTTGCATTTATGTATGTTGAACTTCTTTCGCACTGTACGTAGCCAACCGTGCTAATCGGAGGTACGGGGAAAGAACACCAAACTAGAGACACAAAAAGTGGCAGCCCAAGAGGGCGTCCACCGCGGAGATTGATCGATAAAATCGGCCGATTCGGAGCTGGATGGATCATCCAATCCATTGCAGGACCATGGGAGATGTTGACGGCTTGGGGGGGACCTTTTTATCCAGCAGTGGATCGATCATGGCCGATGATGACGACGACGAACGGCATCGGCACCCACGAGACAAAGGTGACGGAGTGCGGCTTCTCCGGCGATGGCAGCGCCCACGCGATGAAGGAGCCACCCAGGGATGTTTTGCTTTCACTGTCGATCATTAAAGTGAGTTTGAGATCTGGGAGGGAAGGGGGGGGCAGGGGGGGGGTCGGGCGCGCGGGGGATTCACCCCCCCCCATTGTTTCTGTGGGGAATTCCGTCCCCACCCCCCCCCCCCTTGGGGTGGTGGGAGGTGCGGGTGTCAGCGCCGCGAGGTCACTAAAGAGTTAATGGGGCACAACGAACCCCGCCACCGGCGGGAGTGGCGCGCAATGTGTAATTTCGGACGGCTCCCCGGGAGTTTAATTAGCGGGACAACGCCACAGTGTTCGTTACCGCGAGCCAATCGGACGCGCGGCCTCCACCGCCATCGTCGCCGCCGCGCGTAGGACAGGTGTCCGTCGCGGGCAGGTGTGCGGGCGATAATGACATCAGGGGCGACACGTGCGAGCGTGCGAGCGCACATACGTCCGTGTGTGCCCGTGTGTGCGTGTGTGTACGTATGCCCCCCCCCCTTCTCCCACTCACCCACCCTAGGTTAACTCGGTTTGAATGAGTACCCGGTGCAATGTGTAAACTTCAGCACTGGGGAGACAAAGGCGGCCGGGGACGGTGCTGGCCATGCCATCCGTCGTGTGCCATGCTAGCTTTCATAGGTGCTCGCAAACTCAGAGCATTTGGCCTGGTAACTTCTTAAGGCTATATACGGGGGATGTTTGTATTTGTGCGTTTGCGTGTCGGTGTACGCAAGGTTGTGTGTACGTTCATGCTTGCAAGTTGCTTGCGTTGCGGGGAGTGAGTGGTGGCACAGTGGTTAGCACACTGCACTGTGAATTCGACGACACAGATGTGAATTTCGGGCCACGGCCAACATCATCAGTGGCGAGTGGTATCTGAATTGCTCCTGGCCCATCACCCCCCACATCCACTCCGCCAACTCGTACTGACGAGCATCGCGGTTTAAACGAATCCTCATAGCAGCGGTAGATTGGTCAAATTCGCGCAAAAGAAAAAATATTAATTACTTATTTAACACATGAGTCGATAACAATGATGGCAAAAGAAGCACTGTATAGAAACATGCATTTAGATTATTTGGCGGCTATAAACTTTGAACATGATAAGACACTTTCGTTGAGCTATCATTTGTGGCCAGGTCACTTTTGAAAAAGAAGCCAATAGCTCAGTCAGCTTTAAAAATTATTGTTTAGTTTTATTTGTTTATTTTGTGCCATTTACTCACCTTTCCTCTAATTTGCACTCCCATCGTGTTTTTGTATTGTTTGTTGTTGTAACGTTCTGACCCGCCCCCACTGGACATTTGTGAAAAATAGCTTTATAGCTAATCGGAATCCTCCAATTCCGATTCTGCTAGTAAAGGAACAAATTTTTAAATACACTTTTGAGTCGAATTTAACCTTGAATTGTTACAATTCACAATCTCCTCCACACCCCCCCCCCCCACCCTCCCAAAAAAACAATACAAATGAGTCAATAAAAACGACACAATTAAATAAGTTATTCATGAAGAGCTTTGCTCGCCGATGCCACCCAATTCCCAGGAGCCACTGTCGCCGCTCGCCAGCTCCCGAGGCTCGACCACACCATCCACTTCTCCCGTGCTCACATCCTTCCACTTTCTTTTCACTTTGTGTAATGTTTACCCTAATTTAATCCTCAACGTAGTGCCGGAACCCAACGTCAAGACACGCAGAATCCATTCAGAACTCTCGCAGAGCGGTGTGGGCCATTGTTAAAGAACTGCCCGTGGAAGCAGATAGTACAGAGCTACCAACGAGATCCCTTCAAGTGACCTCTCTGTTTGGCACAGTAGGTGGGCAGCATTTCCTCATCCACTCTCCAACTGAGTAATATTCGACGCACGGCAGTCAAGAAGACATTTTAGATCTTCGAGCTGGAATGGAGCCAAATTAAGTTGTCGAACCAAATTTAATGTGATGATCATTTAAGCAGCGATTAGCGCCTGTGATGAGACCATCAACTGCACGTGAGAACGGCAGGCGTCCGAGGTCGCTTTGTAACCAGGATCTCCGCTGTTCCAGCTTGGCGATCTGAACACCCCCGAACCACTCTGGCGACATGTTGCCCGCGCGTCCGTACCCCACGTACTTGACGGGCTCCCAAGACTCGCGCTCGATGCCCTTGCTGATGGACTGGGCGATGGAAGTCTCCATGAGGTCCACGTAACGCACCACCATGGGCCCGAAGATGTCCTGCAGGTGCCGGTGAAATCTCCCGTTGCACAGGTAAGCTACACACACACGAACAACGGCCTCCTTCCCCACACGTCCTGCGCAACCCGACCCGGTTCCCCCTCGCACATTCGATGGGGAAGATCGCCCCCCGCCAGTCGCTTTGCCCGGTCTCAGGCTCTGGATCGCCATCCCTCCGTGGTGGAGTGCATCCGTAAGTCACTCCGTAGGGTTCGGCTACTTCTTCCAAACATTGAGGCACGTCAAACCCCCACTCTTTCCCCACGTTCTTAAGGCCAGAGTTTCCCACAGCTCCTTCATGACCCCGAGCACGCAGCAGGCAAGGGGCCCCAAGGCTGGTGCTTCCCTAAATTGGCCAGAAAAAAAAACACACAAATAAAGCACGTGTGACGAGTGCCCCCTATTATGTGCCGAGTGAACGTAACTCGCGGTGTCGTCTCAGCGCAGCAGGGGGTAGGGGCCAGCCCCATTGCAGCAAATCTTGCGCAATCGCTCTCACTCACGTCTACGGCGGGCACAGCAGCACGCAGGCTTGTTTATTTCCAATTACGAGCAGCCAGCCGGCAAGCAGCAGCCTTTTGAGAAAAAGCACTTGATCACTGGGTGTAAAACGTCGAACAAAAATACCCCGCTTGGAAACGCTGCGATGAGCGCAAGCATTGCTCAGGCTATTTCGTCATTTCCCTTCTCTGCGTCTCGAGCGATGCTGGGCGGCCGCTGCCTGCCACCCTAACCCCTTCACCGGCACCCGGAGGCGGTGTCGGTGACGCTCACGGTCGGCGCGCAGGTAGTCGTTGAGCAGCTGGAAGAGCGGGAAGCTGTCCCACGACTCGGCGGGCTGCATCGCGATGGCCGCGTCGAAGTCGTCCACGTAGAGCGACAGGAACGTCTCGGCGTGCTCGCCCATCAGCTCCGACCAGAAGGCGAACGCCTGCGGTGGACGAGCGTTGCAGAGGCAAAGGTCCCCCGTGTAGCCTTGACCTCCTTACACCGTGGTGCCCCGGCGGTTGTGAGATGTTAACTACCTCGTCTGGTAAACAGGAGGCCGTGGGTTCGATCCAGACCCTGACGCCTGCTGTAGATTTGAAGTTTGTGCGTCTCTCTCCCCGTGGTCACGTGAATTTTTCTCCGGGTCCTCAAGTTTTTCCCCTCCACATTTAGAATCAACATCACGCGTTTAGAGTATTTGGCTGCTGTAAATGTCCACGTGATAAGCCACTTCGTTGAGCTATAATTTGTGATAGCCAGGTCGCTACTGAAAAGAGCTATATAGCTCAGTGGGCCTTACCGGGTAAAATAAAAAAAAAAACAATTGCTGAGTTTAGTTTAGCCTTTAACAGAGTATTGGGGCAAAAAGTGCGGTTGGCGAGTAGCATCTATAAGGCCTGCATGGCACAAGTGGGGGTAGGTGGGTGGCCAACACCAGGTGGTTATGTTTTACACACATCGAAGCAGGTTCCCATTAAATGCTGAGTCGACCTAGGGGAGTCCCAGGACCTGTTTAGATATTAGCCGTCACCGTTAGTGGTCGTGAGCAGGAAGTTAACTCGGGTCACCGGGATCGTAGCGCAGGAGGGCGAATAACTGCACTACCACCCTCACTATTAGTACCGGTGATTACACACACACGCGCGCAAGTACTCCCCACATAATGAAGTGGCCTTGCCAGCGACTAAAGTATTTTGTTCTTTGGAAAACATCCCAAGCCATTCCCGCTAAGTGAATCGAGTTGTCAAGTTTCAAGTTGATTTAGCAGGCGAGAACTCAAGACACCAGGATAGAGTATCGTGTGTGCGAGTTACCTGGGGCACGAGTCTGCCAGTAGGGGGCGATGATTGCTCTGTGTAATCCCGAACTTAATCAATCGCGGGTGGTTTTGAACTTTTACAAATGTGGACTCTCCCCGACGCCGGCACACGACGGCCTGCTCTTGTGAATGACGTCAGGGGATCTTTAACGTCCTGTGCGAGCTAAAGCAGACTCTGCGTAGTGCCACTATTATTACTACTATGGTTAATAATAACCAGGGCGGCCGCTGGATTCGAACCGCGAACCTCTGCAACAACAAGTGGTGAATGCGTTTCCGCTGGGCCGCGTCATCGCTGTTGGCAAGGTTCTGGGAGGGGGCGAGCAGCTGGAGTGATAGCGATGGGATTGTGTTGGGCCCGTGGCATCGAGAGGAGACGTGTGCTGTATGGTCTAGCGATGGCTCACCTCTCTTCCCTGCCGGCGGAGGAGCAGTGCAGAGGAGGAGGAGAGAGGAATGAGGAGAGAGGAGGAGTGGAGGACGAGAGAGGAGGAGGAGGAAGAGAGGTCAGAGGTCAGTGGGCAACTCACATCGTCAAGCGGCTTACCGCTTGTGTGACAGGTGTCTGTGCCAAGGCGTGGACAAGTAGGTGAACATCAGATGAATATGGACCGCAAGAGGCAGACAGAGCAGACATAGCAGGTGGACAGAGGTTGCTTGACATAACAGTTGAGAAACAGACAGGAAGACAGACAGCCAAATTACCTGAAGACAAATGACCAGATATACTGACGGGTGGACCGATAAAAAAATATCGAAACCAACAGACGAGTTGACAAATAGACACATGAATTAAAGAACGTAGCAGATGGGGAGACAAAAAAAAAGTAGACCGAAGAATCGACAGAAAAGTGAACAGAGAGAAAGTGACAAACCGGTGTCGTGAAACAGACAGGCGGCAACGTAGCAGACATGCAGAGTGACAGAGCATCAGAGAGGAAGACGGACATACAGGTGTGTGTGCGTGCGCGTGCCTCCCAGTGGTAGTCGTGGTTCTGCTGCAGCACGTCGATGCAGTGCTCCGCGAGACGCAGCGTCTCCTCCAGACGCCGCACTGGTGGCGTCACGCCGGCCTCTGCTCCCGTGCCGGCCACACCACATCCAGCGCCGCAGACAAAGGGATGCGGGAGGAGACGCGGGGGGGGGGGGGGGGCGGGGGGGTTTGACGCGGAGGGAGACGTAGGGGGAGATGCGGGGGGGAACGCGGGGGGAGACAAGGGGGAACACACGGGGGGAGACACGGGGGGGAGACACGGGGGGGAGACACGGAGAAGATTCGCGGGAATACGGGGGGAACCACGAAGGAGATGTGCAGGAGACATAGACGAGATGCGTGGGAAACAAGGGGATGTAAGAGACATCGGAATGGCAGGAGGTGGTGGTGGTGGTGGAGAAGCAAAGGGAGACGAGAAATGGGGAGAGCGAGACGTTTGGAGGTGTAGTGGGGGGGGGGGTGACGCTCGTTAGTTCTCCACTCCAGCGGAGCGCTCGTGACGCCCACAGCGCCGCCGCTTCACCCCCCCCCCGGCACACGGAGGGTCATGCAGCCAAATGTCTGAACAGCACAACGGCCACATATCCGACTGTCACAGTTCCGCCCTGACCTAATTAACCGGCCCACACCGGTGCTTTATTCACGCATAGCAGCACGACTGTCATTTTATATACACGTTCACTTGATTCGACCTTTTCACATGTCTGCCAATAGCTCAGCTCCCAGCAAGTTGCATATGCGACATTGTACTACATGTATGAAAGAATATAACCGCTCAATACAATTGTATTTGAAAATGTAAATAAAACAAAACATATTCCAATTGCAACGAGATTTCCCTTCTGAACTCTGAACCCTCCCAGTGAGACGTTTAAGACCACTGTCTCACGTTTTTCAACGCGAGCCTCCGAATCGTCGCACCTTTAACAATCTCTACCGAGTATAATCCACGCGCTGACACGGTTTACACGGGACAGAATAAAATAACTTGACAAACTAACAACACCATTATATTCTATTGTTGCCGCACGGTGTCAGCAATATGTTCAGCAGCTATACGCCAATTTCGAGGTTTGCTGACCACAACGAGAGGGCTTCAGCAGAGAGAGTTTGCGTAGTTTTGCGATTCCTCGACTTAAGGAGCACAGACTACGGCGCTTTAATGTACAGTCCATAGTCTTGTAGCATGGCCACGATCACACTACTGTGGCTGGTATCATTAATTTTACATTCATGATTGAGATGTGCGCATCAGCCCATTGATGCGGTTGACAGTTATGGTGGCGAGATGTTAACTACCTCGCCTGGTATACATGAGGTCGTGGGTTCGATCCCGACCCTGACCGTCTGCTGTATATTTGGAGTTTGCGTGTCTCTCTCCCAGTGGTCGCGTGGATATTTCTCCGGGTCCTCCGGTTTTTCCCTCCACATTTTAGAAACATGCGTTATGGATATTTGGCTGCTATAAATTTCCAAACGATAAGCCACTTTGTTGAGCTATCAATTGTGGCCAGGACACTTCAAAAAACGAGCTACATATCTCAGTGGGCCTTACCTGGTAAAAGAAAATAAATATAAACTCTTTGATGAGGAATATCACATAACTGCCAGATCATCAATTGCCCTGGAACTGCTTTTCTCCCTCAAGAAAAACGCATTTTTGTCTGCCATTTTTTAATTCTAATTTCATGCAGTGACTCACTCCATCAGGGAGCAGATAAGGACCCACAATGCCCCTCACCTGCAGCCTTCTGATTGGCTGCTCTCGACACACACGGACAAAAACGAGAGTCGAGGTTAGAGAAGAGAGTTATGGAACGCAGACAACATCGTTAACATCATCATAATCATCGTCGTCATCATTAACATCATCATTGTCATTCATCAACATCATTTCGCCATCATCATCATTGCCGTCATCAATTACCATCAAAACGCTTCTGTTTCTTTGCTCTCACCGTTCCAAGTCAAAACTGCCTCCCATCGTCTCTTTCCCCCAGCTCTTATTACCTTGATCACTTCAAGTAACGCATAAACTCTTCAATAGTGCCGATTGTTGCTGGCCGCTCGATGGTTTTTGGGACTTTGGGCCTATGCTCAGCAACCGGGCCAAAGCATATACACGGCAAGTTAAAAGACATGCACAAAACGCCGTACCACGTGCCAACGTAGCGCCACACAGGATGTCTCCAACACGCCACAACACCTAGTAACCAACGCATCACGCCACTAACGCTTCATATCAATCACGGTTTTTGGGGAGGCCCGATTTCCGAATGAGACATCGGAGTGGTTGTCCACGAATCCAATGACCAAGGGGAAGAGAAGACCTAAGGCCAGATGGTGGTGGCGGCGGGAGACTTGTCAGGGCAGATCCAGGAGGTCCATGCACATCTCCTGTGCAGCAGCAGCTGCGGGATTCTGGCGGAGGGGAGAACCTTGTAGTGAGGTGTGGAGGGGGCCATCCGCGGCTGGCTGTGGCCATGATGGTCTCTTGATCTTGACGTTGATTTTAAAAAGACGTCATGCGTGTTGAACTTCCTTCGTGCTGTACGTAACCAACCGTGCTAATCGGAGGTGCGAAAAAGTGACAAATTCCACCCACTCCTGGCAACGGGACGGCCTGCGCGGACCACGGTCATGGATGCGAACCCGGGTCGCGTGCGTACGTACACGTGTACGTGCGTGTGTACGTGCGTGAGCACCTTCGTGCCTGGCGATGGCACAGACGTTGGAGAAGTTGAGGTGGGCAGCCTTCTGCAGACATTTACACAGAAGCATCTGCACATCGTCCTGGACAACGGGGGTTGAGATGTCCTTCATCATCACCTGCACGGAGGCACAGACACGGGCAATTTAACGTAAACCGAGACAGACACGTAACAGCCAGATCTTATAGACACTTGCACAGAGACACAGACAATTTTCTTTAAAAATCACTCACAGACAGACAGACACAGACAGAAACCTGCATGGACGCAGACACAAAGATCTTCAAGGACACCTCAGAGAGACACATCGCCTTGAGAGGCACGTCACCCAGGGGACATGAACAATAATTTATCACCACCTGCACAGAGATATAGATTGAGGTCTCACACATCACCTAGGCAGACACACGGACACACATTAATCTTCTGGAGTGCAGATTGTGGATTGTGGAACGTGGACACGGAGATGGAGCCGGTGTCTCCGAGCGGCACTCACACGTTCCAGGAGAGACAGAGACGCCTTCAGTCCTCCCTCCGGCCGCCCAAATGGGAAGCAGTACCTGCAAGACAAAGATCCCCCTTATAGCCTCAACAGAGTGTTGGGGAAAGTGCTCGTCACGAACACCTATGAAGGCCAGAACGGTGCCCGAGGGGGTGGGTGGCCAACACCACTTCCCGACTGCCTTTGACCTCCCAAGTGGCAATGTTTATACACCGCACCAGGTACTCATTTGAGGCCCAGTCGACCTAGGGGAGGCACAGGACCGGCTCAGATTATCGTGACTGGTGTTGACCGTGATCGGGAATAAAACCCGGGTCGCCGGATTAGTAGCGCAGGGCACACACACAGCAATGAACGGCAATTGTTTCTTTAACAAGCGTGAGTGAAGTACGGTAAACAACCTCCATAATTTCGATTTAAAGCTTTCGTGACTGCAGGGATTCATCTTCTTGGTTCTTTCGGTAAAGTCACGTAGAAGGGAAGTAATAAAATAATAAAAATAAAACACAATAAAAAGCAGCCGTCTTCCTGAAGACGGCTGCTTGCGTTGTAGCCGAAACGTCGTGAGAATTATTTTATTGTGTTTTATTTGTATTATTTTATTACTTCCCTTCTACGTGACTTTACCGAAAGAACCAAGAAGATGAACCTCCATAATTGGCACGGTGTGGAGAGGCCTTCACTGCGGAATTGACAACGGCCTGCAAATAAACTTTTGTCGGAATATTTTACGTTGTTATATAAACACGGCGTTCCGAATTTCACACTGCGGAGAAGTCGCGAGCCTCCGCTGGAGAAGCAGCTTCATCGGTCAGAATTGTTTTCAATACATTGCCACGCGTGTCAATAAAAAAAAAATATCGTATGCATGAACGTGACAACATCTCCATGTGGTGGAGGGTTAATGACGCGGAGTTTGACATAGAACCGCCACCACGTTGGTCCGATACAAAAATGAACGTGGATCCTTGCATGGGCTACGAGAAGGGGGGTTCTGAGAGGTCGGGCGGGGGGGGGGGCGAAACTCCGGTCTCAACCCAGGATTCTCAGCGTAGCCGGTTCAGCACTCCAACACGGCCATTACGATTGCCCTGTGCGCCACCCAGGACCCACCCCCTCACTCCCCCCACCCCCCGGACACAATCCGGCTTTTGACAAAACGATGAAGGAACGACGACGCAAAATAACTCGGCGGACAAAAAAGAAGGGCACTCCCCCTCCTTCCGCTCTACCCCCCCTCCCTCCGCTCTACCCCCCCCTCCCTCCGCTCTAACCACCCCCTCCCTTCGCTCTACCCCCCCTCCCTCCGCTCTACCCCCCCCTCCCTCCGCTCTACCCCCCCTCCCTCCGCTCTAAACCCCCCCCCTCCTTCCGCTCTACCCCCCCCTCCCTCCGCTCTACCCCCCTCCCTCCGCTCTACCCCCTCCCTCCGCTCTACCCCCCCCTCCCTCCGCTCTACCCCCCCTCCCTCCGCTCTACCCCCCCTCCCTCCGCTCTACCCCCCCTCCCTCCGCTCTAACCCCCCCCTCCCTCCGCTCTACCCCCCCCTCCCTCCGCTCTACCCCCCCCTCCCTCCGCTCTAACCCCCCCTCCCTCCGCTCTAACCCCCCCTCCCTCCGCTCTACCCCCCCTCCCTCCGCTCTACCCCCCCCTCCCTCCGCTCTACCCCCCCTCCCTCCGCTCTACCCCCCCTCCCTCCGCTCTACCCCCCCCTCCCTCCGCTCTACCCCCCCCCCTCCGCTCTACCCCCCCTCCCTCCGCTCTACCCCCCCTCCCTCCGCTCTACCCCCCCCTCCGCTCTACCCCCCCTCCCTCCGCTCTACCCCCCCTCCCTCCGCTCTACCCCCCTCCCCCTCTCTACCCCCCCTCCCTCCGCTCTACTACCCCCCCTCCCTCCGCTCTACCCCCCTCCCTCCGCTCTACCCCCCTCCCTCCGCTCTACCCCCCCTCCCTCCGCTCTACCCCCCCCTCCCTCCGCTCTACCCCCCCTCCCTCCGCTCTACCCCCCCCCTCCCTCCGCTCTACCCCCCCCTCCCTCCGCTCTACTACCCCCCCTCCGCCGCTCTACCCCCCCCCCTCCCTCCGCTCTACCCCCCCCTCCCTCCGCTCTACCCCCCTCCCTCCGCTCTACCCCCCCCCCTCCGCTCTACCCCCCCTCCCTCCGCTCTAACCCCCCTCCCTCCGCTCTAACCCCCCTCCCTCCGCTCTACCCCCCTCCCTCCGCTCTACCCCCCCTCCCTCCGCTCTACCCCCCTCCCTCCGCTCTACCCCCCCTCCCTCCGCTCTACCCCCCCCTCCCTCCGCTCTACCCCCCCTCCCTCCGCTCTACTACCCCCCCTCCCTCCGCTCTACCCCCCCCCTCCCTCCGCTCTACCCCCCCCTCCCTCCGCTCTACCCCCCCCTCCCTCCGCTCTACCCCCCCTCCCTCCGCTCTACCCCCCCCCTCCCTCCGCTCTACCCCCCCTCCTCCGCTCTACCCCCCTCCCTCCGCTCTACCCCCCCTCCTCCGCTCTACCCCCCCCCCTCCGCTCTACCCCCCTCCCTCTCTCCCCCCCCTCCCTCCGCTCTACCCCCCTCCCTCCGCTCTACCCCCCCCCTCCCTCCGCTCTACCCCCCCTCCCTCCGCTCTACCCCCCTCCCTCCGCTCTACCCCCCCCTCCTCCGCTCTAACCCCCGCCGCTCTAACCCCCCCCTCCCTCCGCTCTACCCACCCTCCCTCGCTCTATACACCATCCCCTCCCTCGACTCGCTCTAAACACTCACCCCCTTCCCTCACGCTCTACCCCCTCCCTCCGCTCTACCCCCCCTCCCTCCGCTCTAAACCAAACCCCCCTCCCGCCAGCTCTAACCCCACTACCCCGACTCTACCCCCCCCTTCCCTCCGCCTACTACCCCCTCCTCCGCTCTACCCAACCCGCCTCCGCTCTAAAAACATCCCTCCGCTCTACCCCCCCTCCCTCCGCTCTAACCCCCCTTCCCTCCGCTCTAACCCCCTCCCTACCCGCTCTAAACCCCCCCTCCCTCCGCTTCTAACCCCCCCGCCCTCCCTCTGCTCTAACCCTACCCCCCTCCCTCCAGCTCTACTAACCCCCCCCTCCCTCCGCTCTTACCACCCCCCCTCCTCCGCTCTAAACCCCCCCCCCCTCCTGCTCTAACCCCCCTCCCTCCGCTCTAAACCCCCCCTCCCTCCGCTCTACCCCCCTCCCCTCCGCTCTACCCCCCCCCTCCCTCCGCTCTACCCCCCCTCCTCCCCTCCGCTCTACCCCCCCTCCCTCCGCTCTACCCCCCCTCCCTCCGCTCTACCCCCCCCTCCCTCCGCTCTACCCCCCCTCCCTCCGCTCTACCCCCCCCTCCCTCCGCTCTACCCCCCCTCCCTCCGCTCTACCCCCCTCCCTCCGCTCTACCCCCCCCTCCCTCCGCTCTACCCCCCCCTCCCTCCGCTCTACCCCCCCTCCCTCCGCTCTACCCCCCACCCGCCTGTTCCACGTTTCCTTTCACTTTTTTTGTGAATTTTAAGTCGGCGTAGCTCGGCGGGCGAGCGGCTCCGAGTTAAAGTGTCGCTAATGAAGCGTGAGGTGCAAAATCTCACAGCACAAATTGGGGCGTTGTGGGCGTCCGTGCGTGCGCTCGTCTCGTCTGCACCGGCCGCCTGGGAGTGGCCGTCCGTGCGCGCGTGCGAGTTCGATTGTGTGTAGGCAAGGGTGTGCGCGTGTGTGCGCGCGTGGGGAGCGGTAGTGTAGCGGTCAGCGCGTTACGCTACGAACCTGGCGACCCGGGTTCGATTCCCGCTCACGGCAAACACGACACTGGCGGAGCCAGTGGAAGGAGAGGTGGGGTGGCACGTGCGCCCCCAATTAGGGATTTCGATCGGATCATTGGGGTTTATTAGTAATAAATCGGCATTTTGTGACCCCCACTGCCACTGTGTAGCATATTATTACGTGCCAGGGACTATGAGATGAGAGTCCATAATTGGCAATAAGTAACGGCAAAGCAGTTACAAGTGACTCACAGAATTGTGCGCAGTTGCATATACAGTATATATACGACTTCCCTGAAGGCATTCACCTTCAGCGAGCACGATGCCGATCACACCACGCGGTTCGAATTCGACCATGGATCGATGGCTGCGCCATCGCCGCACACGCGTCGAATAAAAAGCAAGGGACAAGTTCTTACTTACTAACAACTCCTCAATCATTTTTCATTGCTGGAGGGGTTGCCCCCCCGCACCTGAAAATCCTGGCTCTGCCATTGAGTGACGATTATTTGAACTGGTCCTGAGCCTCCCCAAAGTCGGCTCAGCCCGAAATAAGTACCTGGTGCGATTTGTAAATATTGCCACGAGGGAGACAAAGGCGGTTGGGCGTGGTGCTGCCAACCCACCCCCTCGTGTGCCGTGGCGGCCTTCATAGGTGCTCGCTAACGGCATTTCCCCAAAAGCCTGTTAAGGCTACACGGGGGAATCTCTTTCTCTGTTTGTGTGCGAGTTTTGTGGGAAGCAGTTAGCGCACTGATTACCCCAGTTCGATTCCCACTCATGGCCAACACCAGTGACGATTATCTGAACCAGTCCTGGGCCTCCCCAAGGTTGACTCGGCCTCAAATTACTATAAAGTGTAGTGTGTAAACATCGTCTGCCATGCCGTGCCAGCCTTTACATCAAGCAGAACTTGTGCCAACATTCTGCTGCAGCGATACGGGGATGTTTGTCTTTTTGCGAGTTGGTGTTCACTGTCTGCCCGTGCGTGTGTACGTGAGTGCCCGTGCGTGTGTACGTGAGTGCCCGTGCGTGTGTACGTGAGTGCCCGTGCGTGTGTACGTGAGTGCCCGTGCGTGTGTACGTGAGTGCCCGTGCGTGTGTACGTGAGTGCCCGTGCGTGTGTACGTGAGTGCCCGTGCGTGTGTGTGCGCGTATCAGAGTCATGTACACCTAACGCGCATGTGGTCAGTGTGTGCGAGTGTGAACTTGTATGTGTGTGCGCGCGTGAGCGGACCCACACGTCCGTGTTCCACGTACACTCGACTCGCACGTGGCCAGTGAGCACGTGCGTCTGGGCTTGAATCACAAAGTACACCTCGTGGCCTCCCTTAGGTCGACTCAGCATTAACACGAGTACCTTTTTGTGGCGTTTAATAATCTGCACTGGGGAGACCATGGCGGCTGGGCATGGTGCTGGCCCACCCCATTCCCGTTCCTTTGTGTGCACCTTGCTAGCTTTAATAGGCACTCTCTAACAGCACTTGCCCACGTGTGTGTGCGCATGCGTAGGTGTTCGGGTTTCCACCTGTCGAGCATTTCCAAGATTTTTCAATGTCTAGGAGGCATCCGCCTTCCTTAGAAATCTAAGTCTTGCCGGGACGTTAAAGATCCCGGTGTGTCTCAGTTGCGTAATAATAATTATACTGGTAGGAGCCTCCTGGTTACACCAGCGCACAGGGAATTATTGTGTCCGTCGTGCAGGGAGGGGCTGGGTGGGGAGGGAGGGGCTAGGTGGGGAGGGGAGGGTGGGGAGGGGCTGGGTGGGGAGGGTGAGGCTGGGTGGGGAGGTGAGGGTGGGGAGGGGCTGGGTAGGGAGGGTGGGGAGGGGTTGGGTGGGGAGGGTAGGGAGGGGCTGGGTGGTGGGTGGGAGGGGTTGGGCTGGGTGTCGAGGGGCTGGTCACCCCGTGGTGCCCTTATAAAACTTAACGTTTAACCTACTCACGCCGGCTTGTGCCCGCCCTCACAGTCGGGCATATTTGCGGAATACACCACGCCGCCGTTGACCCTGGCCATTGACCGAGCAACCCAACGTTCCTACCAGCTCCCTCCGCAGGAATGTGTTTATGTAGAGGTGTAATTGCGCATGGCTACGAAAGGTGTCGTGTGATTATGCATGGCCACGGATGGCCAACAAACACAAAGGGCGGGGTTACGGCCGTACACAGGGGTGGCGCTCGCACCGACGTCCGCATGTACATCCCCCACGGGCCCCCCCTTGGGGGCAAGTCCTATAAAAGGTGATGAGCCGAAAGGCTCGGGAGTCGGGACTCAGCTTTAACCAGAGAAGAACGAAGACCTGCTAGTATAGGCCCCGGAGCTCCCCTGGCTCGCTGTCCTTCTAAGGGCCGACCAGGGCAAGCCGGTGGCGTGGCCCCGAGAGCCCAGACGAAGCTGGTAGCTGGTCTGGTGACTCAGGGAGCCGGGATCCCAGCTTAACCAAGCTGGGACAGATAGCCTCCCCTAGTCCCGTAGTGGAGGAGTTGGTATAGGCTAGAGGGGTTAGCTGTCGAGAAATCCCTGTAGCCAAGTGACCTGTAATAACTGTGTTGGTGTAATAAATAAGTGTGCCTCCGATCCTGTCGTCAAGCCTCCATATATACTTACTACATTTATGCACCGCTCAAAATAATGCAGTGACGAGTAGGTCTCTCCTCGTCTAGTATTCTGAGAGAATCTTCTCACCATCATCATCGTAAATCGTGGTCATTCCACCTGCTGGATGATGGCCTCCTAAAGAGGCCGCCACCATCTCTCGCGATCCCACGATGCAACACCGGCACACTCGAGATGATTTCATTGCTCCAGCTTCATCGGTGGAGGTCCTTCAAGTCACGCTCCATTCCCTCGCCTGCCTCTCCGCTCGTATTCTTCACCACCTTCCCGTCATCCCTTCATGCAGCCACGATGTCTCCTGCTCATGACCACTTTTATCAACAGTTTGAATGATGTCATCAACAGGCGTTCATTACCCCTGGCGCCTGACCTTCGCGAGATCGCACTCAATCACAGTCTTCACCAAGATCGTCCAAGGCCTCCCTCATGCCTACCTCTCACCTCTCATCTCGCTCTACTCCCATCCACGCACGCTCCCACCTCCCCCCTCTCATCTCACCCTGCTATCCTCCACACACACTCCTGCATATGCGTGCGTCGGTGCGTGCGTGGGTGCGTGCGCGTGTGTTCGCCCGCATGCCTGGGCGTTCTATCCGCGAGCCCGTGCCAACCGCTAATGCCCGCCGCCACCGCCGCCGCATTTCCATGGCAACCAAAGAGGAGCTTGTCCAGTCTCATTTCATCGTTCATTTTTTTCCTCCCGTCCCCTCTCTCCCTCTGCCGCTCTCTCCCTCTCCTCCGATCTCTCCGCACGCGCGCCCACCCTGCAGCGGCGTCGTAATTAATGTGCCACCACCAAAAGGTCACGGCCCGTACGACAACACGAAATGAAAAAAAGCGATAACGTCTCACTTGCTCATTTTGTGAATATTATTTTTCTCTCTCCCTCGCTCTCGTCTCCGCGGCCATTCCGACGCGAACATCCCCGCTGCACGGCTGTATAATGCGGCTGCTTCCCGTTTAGACGCTGCACGGCCCGTGCACGGCTTTCCCTCTTCGTTCCGCAGAGGAGCTCGCTGGCCCGTGCAGCTCGTGCAGTCGTCTCACGCGCTTCCCGCGGGAGAGAGCTGTCGTATGCGCATGGGCACGAGTGTGTGTGTAGTGTGTGTGTGGTGAGTGTGGAAAAGAGTAGCGTGTGATGAGAGGGCAGAGGCAGGAGAGTGCGTGGAGAGAGTAGAGTGAGATGAGAGGGGAGAGGTAGGAGAGTGTGTGGAGGGGAGTAGAGTGAGATGAGAAGGGGAGGTAGGAGAGTGCATGGAGGGGAGTAGAGTGAGATGAGAGAAGAGAGGTAGACGAGTGAGATACCTGAGAACGTTCATCGACTGAGCTGCATGTGTGGAGGGGATGGCCACTCACCTGAAGTTGGTGATCTGATGCTCAAGGAGCATGCGGAGTCTCTCCTTCACCTCCTCAAACCGGTCCCTCTCCTCCACCGTCACAGAGCCCAGCCCGTCGGGCCTGCCACACACACACACACGGGGTTTGTAGCGCAGTGCGCCAACTCGCTGTGCCACAACTCTCCACACTCGCCCAGCCACACATTAGTGGCTGGGCACAGTTGGCATGGGCGCTGGTGCAAGGAATTAAATGGATCCCCCTGCTCTGTCCAATTCCCCGCCCCCTCCTCTTTGTAGCCCTGGTGCCTGGGCCCCCGTGGCCCACGACCCCCAGTGCAGTTGCACCACCTGCACACTCGATAGCCACGCCAACTGACACACACATGAAGACCAAAATGTCCCACTTAGCTGCATGGACTGGTGAGACATGAGTGCTGTTAGCAAGCACCTATTAAGGCACGGGACAGGTTCTGATACAATGTGCCACTGACGGTAGCCATGGCTGGGAATCGAACTCGGGTCGCCGGGTTCGTCGCACAGTGAAGCTTACCGCAGCACTACCGCTCCCCGTCTGCGGTACACAAACACAAACATGCACGCACGCACACACACACGTACGTACACGCACACGAGCACCGAGGAACACTCGCGCTCGCTCATCCCGTTGGGATGTAATCTGTCCACCTGTATCAAATCGGACCTCGCGCTCAAACATCGGACGCGTCCGTCAGATTTTCCCGTGCGCATCGTGACGGCCGACAGCGTGCGACCTGGCGCGGCAGGTTTCCTCCCCGCACGCACAAACGCACACATCAACGCGCACGCACACGCGCCGTGTGCGCGGCCCTGAGAGCTGTCACTCGCGGTCAACAGTCGCGTCGTTCTCGACTTGGATGATGATGGCTGCGACATCTAGAAAGCAGCTCGCCCGCCTGCCCGCCCGCCCGCCCACACCAGCTCCACTAAGGAAGAGTGGAGACTTATAATTAATTGATGTGTGAGTTATGCCCAAAATAAAATTTAATTGTCAATCGAATTAAAATCGTCACGTTTTAACGAGGTACAAATTGTTCTCGATCCAGCTCACTCACTCGAATGAGGTTAAGTGCAATTCCCACAGCCAAATTCATCAGCATTCAGATAGACGATTCTGTGTTCCTGGATTCTGTTCTGAAGATGCTTGACGCAGTTTCAAACGAAATTCCATGGATCTAATCGCTGCTAAATCTGGCTGTGACAATTTGCTCTTTTGTATCGTTAAACACTCGTACACGCGACAAATTAAATTGTTAGGCCATTTCAGGTGGTGGAGGGGTCTCAAGACATTAGTATGCCCAAATCGTTAGGTGGCAGAACACAAAAGCCTATTTCTGAACTGCAACACTGGCCGCTTAAACCTACTCCTGTAAAAGGAAAAATATCTTCTCAGAAGCTATGAGAACAAGCGTAATTTCAGAATTTACAGTTACAGTCCAGGAGCACGTCCCCCGCGGAGATAGAGTGATGGAATCAGTTAGCGTAAAATAAGCTAGATGGATTAGTTTGCGTCGTAGGACTGCTCGAGATCGCGACAGCATGGGGGGGCCTTCACCCAGCAGTGGATTGAACACAGATGACGACAACGGCTAATAACATCGGTGGTGGATACTGCCTGCTTTTTTATCGTCATCTTTTACAGAACACGGTTTAAAAATAGTACAAGTTTGATATTCTTGACCCCCAAATTTTGAAGGGGATTGGCGTGTCCGGATTGTTTTCAATGCCCTCGCCCTTCTAGAACATCATTGGAATTTACACGGGCCATGAAGGATCATAAATATTTGATAGACAAATGACTAATAGCTCACGTATCATTAAAGAAACACTCTTTGCTAAGCCACATTTAATGCGCTCGCCCTCCCTATGCGCACAGCGGTCGGAACCGCAGTAGCCGTGAAGATGCTTCGTAAATCCACACCGCCTTGCCGCGCCTATTGAATGCGGACAGACGCACGGAGGTTCACTAAAGTGAACATGCAGGCTAATAAGCGAGACTGGCAGCGCTGGGCTGAAGCTGCAAGTGTGAGCTCGTGACAGTCCGTGGGGCTCCAGACAACAACTCTTCACTGATGTCACTTCCTTTGACAATCACAGGGACCTTGTCAGGCTGATGAGGCCTGTGCATATTCGGTGACCTCTAGTCCACATTGCTTTCCCACCCACTCTATTCGTCGCATGACAGTCACACCAACTGGAACTTTGCCAAATCCAATGCAGAACCAAATTCAATGCTTGTTTTGAGGGCCGTTTGGTTATTTGGAGGAGGCCTTTGGGCCTGCACCAGGGAGTCGAACCTGTTCCCGTGGACATGCGAGGCGCAGAAGGCAAGTGAGCTCGTGGCAGTCCGTGGGGCTCCATACAACGACCCTTCACTCTGATGTCACTTCCTTTGACAATCGCGGGGACCTTGTCAGGCTGATGAGGCCTGTCCGTATTTGGTGCCTGTCAAAGTCAATCAACGGGCGCCCCCCCCTCCCGTCCATCCAGCTCTGACCGATGCGCCGTGAGTGATGTCACTTCCTGTTGACATAACCACGGGTTCTGTCACACTGATCATGGGTGTCCGGCTCAAGTGGCTGTCAACTCGTTTTTAAGATTACTTTTTTCGTGTAGTTTGTATTCTGGAGTCTAGGGACAGCACCGGCCTCTCGGATACGACAACCTGGAGAAGAAAAAAAACCCATTGGGTCTTATTTTTACTATGCATGTTTTCCCCCTTCTATCGGCTGGCTTTATCGCTGTGCTGTTACTTCTTTTTAGCGTTCTTATCGGTTCCGTCACCGCCGCTATGAGGCCGTCGCATCACGTTTGCTGACGAGACCCTGACACAACTTCGACGCTCGTTAAGTTTGCGGACCGTTAAGAAAAAAAAAGTATTGCACGAAATTTCCGGCCGACGAAAACGAAAACGGCGGCCCTAACGGAGACACAATAAAACGTGGGGGTTTCAATTAATCCGGATCTGTCCGTGTCGGTTACCTGGATAAATATTATTGCACCGGAGCACACCACAAGCCAGTCGACCTCCCGCTATGACTGTGGCTACTATTGTACACTAGTCATGTGCCACCAACTCCGTTATACAGCAAACCGGAAAATATCCATTGGAAAATCGAGCCATGTTGAGAATCCCATTGGGAATAAAGATCTCTCTTCATTTTTTTTTACAAATATGATGATGATGGCACATGAATGCCAGAAGCAATGGGTTTTTGTGTAACTGTCATCACGACTGTGCTATCGGTGGCGGCTCATGAGATCAGGTGTCTGTTCGCATCTCACACACAGCCGTGTGGGTCCTTCGTGTTAAGACAACGGCTCACAGAAGAGGGTATTGCAGAGCTCCCTCTGAGATGCCTTAAGGTGACCTCTGGTCCACCCGCTGTATTCGTCGCATGACAGTCACACCAACTGGAACTTTGCCAAATCCAATGCAGAACCAAATTCAATGCTTGTGTAGTATCTTGAAGGAGACGGAGATTTCTTTAGAGGCTACACGCTTTAATTTCAATAACAGCTAGACATCCTGACGCACTGGGGGAATAGCCTAACCACACAACCTAGTGAGGTACAGTCTCCACTCTATTCCAACTACTCTCCTTCCCTAGCCTACAGCTACTCAGCCCGGGGACGCTTAACGCCACCCTCAGCCCACTCAGTCCCAGCGGGGCGGCATCCTCGGGGCTTGGGGTCCAGGATCTCCGGCGGCACCTTCCTTCAGCTTTAGATGAGATGGACTGGCTCCCGCTCTCCGGGAGCCATCTTATATACCCCCTCTCTGAGGGGCGGGGGTGTCTCGGGGCCCCGGCTCTCGCCAGCCCCCTCCCCTCAGAGCGATTCCAACCGCCTCTCGGCCCGGCCGGTCCGGACCAGTCCAGACCGGTACGTACCCCTCCCCTAGGTTGTGTAACCTGTGTCAACCTTGACCACCACACTTGTTTTGCGGGCCGTTTGGTTATTTGGAGGGGGCCTTTGGGCCGGCGCTCAGCGACGTTTGATCGTGCCGTTTGTTGAGCCCGGCGCGCCAGGGAGCCGAACCTGTTCCCGTGGACGTGCGAGGCACAGAAGGCGAAGGAGTAGTGCAGCAGCGTGGGGTCGATGATGGCGCCGCTCTCGGCGCGACTCAGCAGCTCGTTGAGGTATCCCAGGTGGCGGTGGCAGCCGCGCACGCCGTACCGCGCACAGTACTCGTCCAGCGCGAACACCTGCCCGGGACTGAACCAGCCCTGCACCACCACCACCGCACAGCCCAACACAAAAGTCATCTCCGTGTCGCCTACCCAACCACTCGCTCACATGCTCATCCGCTCGCTCAATCGCTCGCTAACCACTTACTCAACCAATAACTCAAAAACCTGCTTATTTACTCGCTCAACCACCTGCTCACTCATCCACTCATCCATCCACTCAACCACTCACCCACCCCACGACAGGTCACAATACTTCCCTTTCTGCTTCTACCCTCGCGCTGCTCCATTTTTCAATTTCCTCCCGTCATCGTCTCTATTCGCCCCAAACTCTGAATTATAAATAACCTTGCTCGAGTCAAGACAAAACACTGGGAACTCGTCTTACAACTTCGACAGTGCTGAGCTTTGCTGGCCGCTTCATGTTTTCGCCCCTTTGCGCCTGTGCTCAGCGGTGGAGTTGAAGTGGTGGGGCAGCAAGTGAGCAACTATTGAAGGCCGGCACAACGCACAAGGGGGTGGGGGACTGTGTGGCAATCACCACGCCGGACGTCTTTGTCTCCCCAGCGGGGACGTTTACGCACCACGGGGAGATACTCATTTAAGGCTCAGTCGGCCCAGTGGAGGCTCGAGACCGCTTCAGATATTCTTCACTGATATTGGCCGTGAGCAGGAATCAAACTCGGGTCGCCGGGCTTCGAGGTGCAGCGCAATAAGCCACTACACCACCGCTAATCGCACGCAGACAGCCACACGTCCCGCACGCAGACAGCCACACGTCAGTGGCATAGCACGGTTGACATCGGCTCTGGTGCAAGGACAGAAATTACTCCTCCCTCCCTCCCTCCCGCCTCCCACCCCCGTAGCTTGGTGCCTGCACCATTTCTACCCGTGAGCCTCTGTGTAGTTGCACCGCCTGCACACTCGATAGCTACGTCACTGACACACACAAAGACTAAAATAAAGACTGCCAACTTAGAAGTACGGACTGGTGTGATAGGTACTGTTGCGCGAGCATGCATTAGGGCCAGAATGGCACAAACGCACACACTCAATCTACACACGTAGAGCAGTGGACATGTCGTGGCTGAGGATGCACGACGGCGATGAGACGATCAGAATAAAATAATATTTTTCTTCTTGGTTCTTTCGGTAAAGTCACGTAGAAGGGAAATAATAAAATAATAAAAATAAAACATTATAAAATACAATTCTCACGATGTATCGGCCACAACGCAAGCAGAGAACGGCTGCTTGCGTTGTATTCTTTTATTTCGATTTAAAGCTTTCGTGACTGCAGGGATTCATCTTCTTGGTTCTTTCGGTAAAGTCACGTAGAAGGGAAATAATAAAATAATAAAAATAAAACATTATAAAATACAATTCTCACGACGTATCGGCCACAACACAAGCAGAGGACGGCTCCTGGAGGAATCCGATGACCGGCAAAGCTCTTTCGTCACCGATGTCGAGCACTGACAATCATCAACGGCACGCGCGCCACGCACGGCGCTGCTCCTGTGCCCGCTCACCAGGGAGGCGGTGGTGTCGCCCGTGCGGTGCAGCAGGGTGAGGCGCTGCAGGGTGTCGAACAGCTCGGCGTGCGGGAAGGTGCACGGGTTCGCCGCGATGAAGTCGTCCATGCCGTGCTTCTGGGCGCGGTCCGCGTCTGCAGCGTGAACGGACACAAAACACACACAGATCTCCTCCCCCCCCACCACGACCACCCCGTGTACAGCCTTGAACAGACCATCGGGTCCAAGAGCGGTCAGCGAGTGGCGCTTGTGGTGAAGGCCGGGGTGGCACACGAGGTGGCGGTCGACGCCACGCCCGGCCACCTTTGTCTCCCCAGTGCCGATGGTTACACAAGGTACTCATTTGAGGTCAAATCGTCCCAGGGTGGAGGAACCATTCAAACTATTCGTCACCGATGTCGGCTGTGAGCGCGGGAATGGAACTCGGGTCACCGGGTTCGCAGCGAGGTGCGCTAACCACGGCGCCACCGCTCCCCACGCATGTGCACGCACACACAGTTTAGGGACTGGTGGACGTCCGGATATGAAGCCAGGATCTCAGCAAAACCATCTGAACCGTGCGCCTGAAGTAATTTCCAAACTCGGCTACAGTAAAGGGGTCTGCTAAGGCTGGGTCCATCTACTATCTGTCACAGCCTTTGCATGGCGGAGAAGCTAACGTAGCTCGTCGCGATGAATAAACCACGATGCTACTGCTACACAGCCCAAACACACACCAATTCGCATATACACACACACACACAAAAAACCCTCCCCCTGTACAACCTTAACAGACTGTTGGGGCAAGTGCTGTTAGCGAGCACCTATGAAGGCCGGCACGGCACACGAGGGGGTGCGTGGCCATCATCACGCCCGACACACATACACACAGTTATCAACGTACAGATACACACACGTACACAGATACATGCCAGAGAACCTAGACCCAGATCCACTCGACAGTAGAGACTGAAATGGAATGCCTTCAAGCACCTGTGTGTCACCCTTCATCTCCTCCTCGCCTCATCCCCTTTGTCTATCCCTCCCATTCCTCACCATCTCTCCGTCCCCCATCTCACCATCTCGCTCCCCTAATTCCCTCTCGCGCTCTTCTCTCTCCCCGCCCCCCCCCCCCCCCCCCCCCCATTTTTTTCCCGTTCTCTCGGCGTCTCCCTCGCTCGATGTCACCCGCCCTTCTCCCACGCGCTCCCCTCTCTCTGCGCGCTCCCATTGTGCCTCTCCTCCTCCTCCTCGTCTCTCCCCATCTCCCCGTTCGCATTGAAACCCACGGTGGATGCCTTCCCTCTAAGTGCGGCGGCGTGAGCTGTGGCACTTTCAATGTCTCTCTCCCACCCCCCCTCACCCCACTCTTTTATTTCCTGCCAAACTTTACGGCCTCTCAGCACTTCGCGTCACAATGTGCAGCAAAAAAAATATATATTTTAAAAAAAACACCACACACAAATAAAAAATAATCTATAACAACAAAGCGCAGATAAAGGGTGATGACTTTCCATACTTCTTTTGACAGCGAGAAATGTATCGATTTTACTCCCTTTCTCTGCTCTGGCCTAATGTTGCAGGGGCGCGTTATTTATTTATCATATATATAGAAGACTTATCTGGACGAAGGAATAAATAAATAAATATCCAGACAAACCACGACGCCCCTGACAACAACAACAACAAAAAATAAAAAGGAATCGCAGAATGGCCGCGAGGCGGTGAGGGGGTTGCGAGCGGCTTCGCCTTTTGTACCCTCAAATCGATAATTATTACTACCGACGCGCGATGCCGGCTGGCCAGGGCTCACACGCGGGCAGCGGCGGCTGGAGCTGTCGCGACGGGGGGGGGAGGTGGATGGTGTCTTTTTTTGTATTAACGCCCTTAGGGGGCAGATTCCAGGGTAAAGGGCTTTTACGAGAGGTGCGTGTGTGTGTGTGTCCGTGTCAGCGCGGGTTGCCTGCGTCCTCCAACATTTAACGTGACAGCCGCGCACGGGACTCGTGGGCCCCGTGCCTCTCCCCCCCCCCACTCACGCCACTCATCCCACCGCCCCCACAAACTCGGCGAACGCCGCTAAATGGCCTTCATCATTCAGCTCACGTCAGTTTTTTTCTCTCTCTCTCTCTCGCTCTCTCGCTCTCTCTCTTCCCGGCGGTAATTGTTCCATGGAGTAGTTCGCCTTTCTCTCGCGGGTCGGGAGTAGCGCGGTTTGATTTTGTTTGTTCGATTCCTGGAGCAGTGGGAGAAAACGAGAGCGCCCCTGTGGGTGCGGCGTGAGAGGCATGGGGACGGTGGGGGCTTGTGAGGACCTACGCGCGCACACGCGCGTGTGTGTGTACACGTGCGCGTGTGTACACATACGTGTACACACGCGTGCGTACACGTGTGTGCGCACGCGCGTGTGTGCGTACACGTGTGTGTGTGTGTACACATGTGTGTACACGCGCGTGTGTGTGTGTACACGCGTGTGTGTGTGTACATGCGTGTGTGTGTGTACACATGTGCGTACAAGCGCGTGTTTGTGTGCACGCGCGTGTGTGTGCATGCGCGTGTGTGTGTGTACACGCGTGTGTGTGTGTACACGCGTGTGTGTGGGGAGCGGTCGTGTCGTGGTTAGCGCGCTGCGCTATGAACCCGGCTCATGGCGACGATTATCTGAACCGGTCCTGGGCCTCCCCTAGGTCGACTCAGCCTCAAATTAGTACCTGGTGTGGTGTGCAAACATCGCCACAAGGGAGACAAAGGCGGCCGGGCGTGGTCCTAGCTGCACTACCCCTTTGTGCACTTCTGCAGTATGAATAGGTGCTCACTCATAGCACTTGTCCCAAAAGTCCGTTGAAGGTTATATAAATGGATTCTTCATTTTTTGTGTGCTTTTGAATAAGTGAGCATGTGTGAGAAGTTGAATGCGTGCGTGTTTGGTGCATATGAGAATGTGCGATTGAGCGTAGTAAGCACATAATCCCACGCACGCATAAAAAAAGTCAGGTTGACCGACAGATCCAGCACTCACTAATTCACTCCGGTCACTCGCTCAACTAGAGGTCAGTTCTCCTCATGATTTCTCTTCCATCACTGCTACGAAGGTTACATTTCCTGTGCACTTCACACACGATGAGGACAAACGTAAGCTGGCAGGCCAGCTTTAGTCACCTTTCGATGCACAGGGACAGTTGCCAGTGGGGGAGGAAGGGAGAGAGGGGGTTCCCTTTGAAAAGTTTTTGACGCAAGTCGCTGGCCGCGTGCAAGGAGCGGGTTAAAGGGGGGCGGCGCTGCATCCAGTCACCGCGTCGTCGTTCTCTACTCACAGAACTGGGAGATGGGCGCGTCGATCTGGGGGCCCCCGCCCTTGGCGTTGAGCTTCTGCACCTGCGTGGGCGGCACGGGTTTGTGCGTCTGCCCCGTGGCGCGGTACATGGCCTGCACCCACAGGATGCGGTCCTGCTCGTCGGCGCTGGCAAACGTCACCAGGTCGCCCTCCTTCACCGCGTTGAAGAAGGCGCGCCCGCCCTCCAGACCTGCTCGCCGCGCACGCAGCAGCAACAGAAATCAGCGCAGTAGCAGCTCCGCAGAAGCGCAGCGGCAGTGCACAAGCAGCACAGCAGAAGCGCAGCACACCACAATAACAAGAGCACAGCAACAGCAGCAGCAGCAAAGAAGCAGCACAGCAAAAAAAAGCAACAACACAGCAGAATAGCAGCGCCCAGCGGCAGAACAGCAGTGTCAAATGTCGAGGCTCAGTGATCACGGGAGGAAATAACGGTCGGGGTTGTGACCAGGGCTTAGCGTTGAGCGATGAGTTAATGCTATTCGGCAGCACCAGGGCTTAGGGGAGATCTATGGCGAGCTTACTTCGGCCGTGTCAGAGAACATTTATTCCCCCTTGGAACCAGGGCTTAATTCCGGCTGGTTTTAACCTGGTCGGTGAGCCGGTAAAATATTTCTGCACCTGGCTCACCACATCCAGTATGCCTTTCGCTCTGGCTGTGGCTACTTCAACTCACGTGCCACCTACTACCATCTACAATCCACCTGCAAAACATTCAGTGATAAATTAAGCCCTGACTTATGGGGGATGAGGCCGGGAATTAGGGTTGAGTGATGAGCTAATATAATTCAGACACCAGTGTTAAACCAATAGTTCAGTTGTCAGTGTCACAGAATAAGTACCCCACGCATATTTTTCTCGAGGAATTAATGTGTTTTCCCAGAGCAACCAATATTCCTGAGCATCTGTTCCACTTTGTAATATTTGAATCGTGGCTTTGTGGTTTGAGGCACGAGTTATTGACAGGTACCAGTAGGCCTAGGGGGAATTCTGCCACGTGGTCTAATGGCCAGCACACTGGACTTGCAAAACAATGGGAGCACGTTTCTTAAATCTCTCCCTGCCTCTGCCCACCCGGCAATATACAGTAAAACCTTGGATTGCGAGTAACTTGGTCTGCGAGTGTTTTGCAAGACGAGCAAATTTTTAAAATATGAATTTGATAAACGAGCGAGGTCTTGCAATACGAGTAGTACGTGTATACGATTTATCTGCCGAGCATCACGTGATCACAACTGATATACGAGTGCTTTGATATACGAGTGCTTTGGATTACAAACACGTTTCCGGAACGAATTATGCTCGCAATCCAAGGTTTTACTGTAAATGGGTTCACCACAGTTAGTGGATCGGCGGCTCGTGTGTGGTGGTCCTGTGTGGTGGGGTAAAGTGTTGGTATGCCCCCCACTCCCAACACAACTGCTCACCGTGGAAGCGCAGACCAAACACTCCCGCGAGACAGATCCCCCGCTATTGGAGGGCCCTTCCGCCAGTCATGGCCTGAGCAAACAATTTCAGGGCTCCAATTTTGCCTTTCGTCTATTTCTACCGGTTGCTACCAGGCCCTGGTGCCAGGAGGAGGGGGGGGGGGGTGACCGGCGCGTGCGGGGAAAGCCGCGGCACCGCGGTCCTACCGGGGTGTGGGTCCGTGTAGTCCACGGTGTAGCCGTCCAGCTGCAGTAGCTCCTGTGGTTCCGTCTTCTTCTCGCGGTAGCTACACATCGCAAACGTGTACTGGCTCACCTGCGTGGGCATAGGGACAGGGGGTGGGGGGGGGGGATGCACATGCTCTAACCGCTGCTGGATGAAAGACACCCCCCAAACCAAACCCCCACCCTCTCCTCGAGATTTTAAATCTCTCGCCTGGTATGCAGGAGGTCGTGGGATCGATCTCGACCCCGACTCCTGTATATTTGGAGTTTGCATGTTCTCCCCGCGGTCGCGTAGATTTTTCTCTGAGCCCTCCCAGTTTTTCCCTCCACATTTACAATCCATATCGATTCAGAGTATTTGGCTGCGATATATTTCCACGTGATAAGGTACTTGGTTGAGCTATCATTTGTGGCCAGGTCGCTTCTGAAAAAAGAGGTATATAACTCAGTGGGCCTGACATGGTTAAAACTAAAATAACAATTCTGCGAGCCAAATTCCTGCCGGCCCTGCTCTCCGAGCACAGCCCCTGATGGCGATGACGGTGACGACGACCGAAAATATTTCGGTGTCGTGACGCTACACGTACGGTCCTCGTGTCTAATCCACTGCTGGATGAGGGCCTCCTCCTGACGCTGTGTGGATCGTGGTGGGGGAGGGTGTTATTCGACCTATACGTCGCCATGCAAGGTCAGTGCAGATTGGTCAAGGCGGGCAGCATAGATATTCTAGCGTAGAAATACAGCAGAGTGTAGTCCCGTAACAGTGAAGTTAAGATTTGATCTATTGAATTAAGACCACGAGTGGCCATCCTTCTGCCTGTCGTGTACCACCCCCCCCCCTCCTATTAGCCCTATCAACGCACCTCCAATTAGCACGCTTGGCTACATATGGTGCGAAAGAAGTTAAACATACATACAGCTGTCTCTGTACACCTACCAGGACATACAGTCCTCAAAATAGTGAAATAATTGACACATGACATTGAAATTACATTTGCACGCGATTAACACCGAAGACATTTAGCCGACACTTAAAAAAATTAGAACCAATTAACCTCCATTCGTCAACTGCATTATGTACCCCCCTGAAGATGTCACGGGCACTCCGAGGGCTAAGTGGACCACCGGTTGGGAAGCATTGAAATAGATCCAAGACGAGGAGTTGGAGGGAGGAGTGGGGGTGGAGGGTGGAGGACAGAGGGGGGTGGGAGGGTGGAGGGAGGGAGGGTAAGAAGAGAAGGAGGGAGGGAGGTAGAGTAGGAGGCAGGAGGAAATGTATGTGTGTATGTTGAACTTCTTTCGCACCGCACGTAGCCAACCGTGCTACTCGGAGGAACGTGCGGGAGAGCGATTTTCTCCAGGTGCCGTGTGTTACCTGCACGAGCACAAAGTACCGCTTCTTCCAGCGTTTCCAAACGTTTTTGCCGACGGCCCACAGGTACCTGGGAAGGGCGGGGGGAACAAAGCACAGCATTTAACGGCGCCGTTAAAAACACAGCGAGCCGGGAGGTGGCCGAGAGGTCCGGGAGGTACCGCTGAAAGCCTGGGTTCGAATCCAGGTTTCAGCTGCTGGGTGTTCTCAAGGAAGTGATTTTCTGCTCAATGACAACTAACTATCTATACGACCAAATTTTTTTATTGTACTAGGTAAAGGCCCACTGAGCTATATAGCTCTTTTTCAGAAAGGACCTGGCCACAAATGATAGCTCAAAGAAGTGGCTTATCGCATGGCAATGTATAGCAGCAAAATGCTCGAAACACGTGATGTTGATTCTCAATGTCGAGGGAAAAACCGGAGGACCCAAAGAAAAATCCACACAATCACGGGGAGAACATGCAAATTCCAAATATACAGGTGTCAGGGTCGGGATCGAACCCACAACCTCCTGTATACTTGGGGAGGTAGTTAACATCTCGCCACCGTGGCACCCTGAGCCAGAGATAGATTTTCGCATTCCTATGGTGGGAGGTGAGTCTATCCATAAGACGACTGTTGAATTCCTCACAACCCCAAAAAGGACGATGGGCTGATTCAACCCCCAACCCTGATTCTACGGCACCATGCCATGAACAACGCGTCTGGATCAGGCCTCGTCCCGGGTCGGCAATGTGGAGCATAATTCCGCACCTGGGACACCACATCCAGTATTGCTTTTCCTATGGACCATGGCTACTGCTACTAACCACGTGCTACCTGCTCCAGTCCACCGGTGAACTGAAATATGCTTTAAATAAAAGGTCATGGCGCAAGATTGAAACACCTGAACGTTAACGTGTCCAGAGCGAATTCTTGAATTAAGCCGTGACCGACAAAAAGTATCAAATCGTCGCACTGCGGTGGAGAGAGGGCGAGCAGTGAACCGTCAGGTCCCTAATAATAGTCACTCACGAGGCCGTTAATTACACAATTCTCCGATCAAAATGGTTCCACTAATCCCACTTAAAAATTCAGTCTCACCCACCCTACCCACCCCACATACCCTACCACCAGGCACACCCAGCAGGGGGCGCTGTGGCTTCCACAGCGCCCCCTGCTCGAGGCAGTGGCTCCTTCCCACAATTCACCACTGCCCCCTGCTGCTTCGATAACCACAGCGACAGAGGCCCGTCCTCCTCCCACCAGCGTTAACGATGCAAGACGGCTCTTCCCGATTGCCCCCCCCCCACCCCCCACCATGTCAAAACCGGTGCTGAGCGTTGCTCGGATTGAATTAATGCGGCCGAATGTTTTATTCCCGGGGTTGTGTTAATACTTAATTTTTTCGGTAAAGTCACGCAGGTAATTTTTTTTTTATTAAAACTAAATTAAATCACGACGTTTTTTTTAACCTACGTGAATTTACCGAAAAAAACTAAAAGTATGGATCCTTGCAGTCACGAAAACTTCAAATCTGGGTTGTGTTAAAACTAGTTGTATTGCGTAATGTGGAGACATGATCTGCTTCTCCGTAGCGTTAACATCGTATCGTCATACATTACCTATATTCGTCACAGTGGGTCTCTGGCTCAGGCAATCTTTGCTCAGTGGCAGATTTGCTCCTCTTCGGCTGCTGCTCCCACTTTCTGCAATCCCCCCCCCCCCCTCTGTCACCATCCTGCACAGTCTTTCGAGTGATGTCTCCGATTTTTAACCCCGATACATGTTTTTCTCTGTCTCGGAGTATAAAATTAAACAGGCTCTGAAAGGAGCAGAAAAAAAAATGCAGACAAGTACAAAACATTATAACAAAAATATATTTTTCCCTTCCACAACTCCTAACACCACTCTGTCAAGGAAAGCCACCGTGAGTTGGCAGGCTTTAGCACAGGATAGGAATTTCAGGGCCCGCATTTGGCCCAAGAATTCAGAAATCTGAGATGGCTCTGCGTCTAACGGGCGGCGTCAATGAGAAACTCTACTCCAGGACTCAAAGCCACGGGCACATTGTTTGATCCACGCCAACTCCGCGGTCGCATCTCTTGTGACCAACAACACCGGGCGAGATTGTGTTCTTACATCACGTAAAGTAGGGGAAGCAACGGGGCAGACGCATTCCATTGGTTCGAGTGTTATCCTTTCTGTCAGCAGCCGATGAGCGGGGATTGGGGGGGGGGGATTGGGGCAATCTCCAACCCTCCCCAACCTTGATACCACAACATTGGTATTTTAACGATATGTAACAGATACAATACATCGAATTGTTTTGTTATTGAATGTAGGGTCCTATTTTAAAAGATTGGCATTTTGGGAATGCCCCCCCCCCCCACCACCACTCTGCCCCCTCCGTCCTGCCCCCCCCCCTCCCCATTGCTCATTGAGAAGTTTCTCGATCCGCCTTTGCAAAGTGGATTACAAACACTGCACATCCGACTCACTGGGGGACTGAGGTGTACGCAACCACCGATAGAAAATGTCAAATTCACCACCGTGCACCGATAAGGTCACTGGACACTCATCGATCGCAAGCTGCTTTAATCGCCTGGGCCAAGGCTTTGCGGTGCTTTGGAAGCAAGGTTAGAATGTACTCGAGGTTAGGAATATAATAACGAGTACAGGTCGGGTTTGTGAACATCCTGGCAGTCGTTCAGGGCGGATATGCGACGCTCGGAGAGCCGACGTAACGTCGTCCACGCAGCACATTCACAAGAACACATCACACGCACGGGGATGTACCTACATCAAGTTATTGGACTATCGATGGGATGATGACAAAGACCCCCCCCGGTATAAAGCACACAGGGCCGTTGGGGCAAGCGCTGCTGTTAGCGAGCACCTAATAAGAGGACTACAACAACACACAGAGGCGTGGTATGCCCAAGGCTTTTGTGCCGATTTTTTTGCACACCCGCAAGCATGTTCTCTTTGAAGGCAGAGTTGACCTAGGGAAGAGACCCAGGGCCAGCTGTGATATTTGTCACCGATGCTAGGCTATGAGTGGAAGTTAATTGAAATCCAGTCCGCCCGCCGGGATTCGCTGCGCAGTGCGTGCGCTAAGCACGGCGCCAGAGCTCCCCACCCACCCACACATCCCCAGAGCTCCCCACCCACCCACACATCCCCAATGTAAGACGCCGGCTCTGCAGTTCCCATCTGCTCCACTAGAGGGCAGCACAAGGCTGGACCCATTCCCCCAGCAGTGGGGACGACACGAACCTCCTCCCCCCCCACCATGCGAACATCCGACGAGTGGTGCGGGTGGGAAGACAAAGCGGGCGGTATTGATGAGTGGTCAGTGACACTGCGCTACGAACGCGGCGACCCGAGTTCGATTCCCGCTCACGGCCACCAACACTGGTGATGATGATCTGAACCAGTGCTGTGCCTCCCCTAGGTCGACTCAGCCTTAAACGAGCTAGCCTGGTGCGGTGTGTAAAGGTGGCCGCCCGCAGCGGCCACACCACCCCCGCGTGCCCCGTTGATCTTCGTTAGGCACTTGGATCTTTGTCGTTCTCCTCCACTGGAGGCCACGAGTGCCAACAGCGTTGGCCCTTGAATGGAATCGCAAACCCGAATCGCTACAATTCGTCGAACGTCGAGGTGAGAAGTGGGTGGGGGTGGTGGGATTCACCACATCCGAGAGTGAGGGTGCACATGAATAAGTGATGTCCACCGACAGATAACCACACCACAGTGTGTAGCTCCCAGTCCCACATCAATGTTGAGATGGCACTGACCCATCAAGATACCCCCCACTGACTCGTCCCAGCCTACATATCACTCCCCTCCGCACACTTTCCTACCTCTGCAAAATCGTCTCGCTACACTACGCTCCAGCGACCAAGGCTTTCTGTCGAAGCCCCCCCCCCCCCCCGATCAAACTTCGCTCAATTGGGAGGTCCACTTATTTTCCTCTACTGCCCCAAAACAGTCTGGAACTTATTTCCCCCCCCCCCCCCAGCCATCGATGCCGTCAAATCCCTGCCCACGACCTCAAGACCTCCACCCCCCCTCTCTTTCTCCTCTCTACCTGTGATCAACTCCCCCTCTCTCTGTAAAATAAATATTCCCACCGTTTCTGTTCAGCGTCTTGGGATTTGGACACGGCTGTGTAAATCCACACTGCTGCATATCCGGACACAAGCAACGTAAGCCGAAGACGCGTGACGCAGGCCGTACCAACGCCATTCGAAAAACCAAAAATTAAGACGATAAAACACGGACGTTTCGATATTAGCTGTCACGCACCTAATAGGACCGTCAGAAATATATACGGAGGGCCTCTCAATATTCCCCCGCGGGTTTCCTTGCGGCTCTGCCGCGGTCTACGGTTTTGTTATTTTGTTAAAATTCCATTAGAAACCGAGCCATGTGCTCTCAGAAAACAAAAACAAAAATCACCCCATCTATTTCGGACCCGCTGCTGCTGCTGCTGCTGCCGCCCGGGGCTCGTTCCATCACGGGGGGGGGGGCGGGAACCGACAACCTCGCCACAGCCACCTCCCGCCACCCCCACCGACTCCCACAAGGCAACAGGCACCCAGCATCATCACTTCACATTTGTGGTGCCCTTCTCGATTACTAAACTCCCCACTGGGGCCCCCCTTCCCACTTGTGGAACTCCCCACTGGTGCCCCCCTCCCCACTTATGGAACTCCCTACTGGGGCCCCCCTCCCCACTTGTGGAACTCCCCACTGGTGCCCCCCTCCCCACTTATGGAACTCCCTACTGGGGCCCCCCTCCCCACTTGTGGAACTCCCCACTGGTGCCCCCCTCCCCGCTTATGGAACTCCCTACTGGGGCCCCCCTCCACCGCTTGTGGAACTCCCTACTGGGGCACCTCTTCCACCGCTTGTGGAACTCCCTACTGGGGCCCCCCTCCCCGCTTATGGAACTCCCTACTGGGGCCCCCCTCCACCGCTTGTGGAACTCCCTACTGGTGCCCCCCTTCCACCGCTTATGGAACTCCCTACTGGGGCCCCCCTCCCCGCTTATGGAACTCCCTACTGGTGCCCCCCTCCCCACTTATGGAACTCCCTACTGGGGCCCCCCTCCACCGCTTGTGGAACTCCCTACTGGTGCCCCCCTTCCACCGCTTATGGAACTCCCTACTGGGGCCTCCGCTCCCCGCTTATGGAACTCCCTACTGGGGCCCCCCTCCACCGCTTGTGGAACTCCCTACCGTTGGCGATCAGGCTCTCCGCCAGTGCTGACATCTCTTATGCCTCGACTAAAACATAAACCTTTAAACAAAAAGCCTTCTCTCATGAGCTTTGTTCCCGTCTGGCTTTTATTTTACCACCCGGTTTCTTTCAGAATTATATTTGTCCTTTTCCCGCATGGCACCTTGAGACATTGTGAAAGGGGCCTCATAAGAGCAAATTATATTCATATACCGCACCTCCCATGCAGTCCATACCGATGCTCCCTGTGGCAAGAGTCCCGCACTCCGTTACGTTTACGACCCACCCCGACTGAGCATCTGTGAAAACGAGCTTCAAAGCTCAACGGATTTCTCCAGGATAAATAGAGATTCTGATTCGGCCGTCGACTCGGGTCAATATAATGCCGTGAATTAATTTCCTTTCTTTAACTGCTCAGCCACGTTCGGACTATTTCTGAGACATTCATGATCCATTCCTGATCCATTCCAGAGTCATTCCTGATGCATTCCCGATCCATTCCAGAGTCATTCCTGATGCATTCCTGATCCATTCCAGAGTCATTCCTGATCCATTCCTGATCCATTCCTGATCCATTCCAGAGTCATTCTTGATGCATTCCTGATCCATTCCAGAGTCATTCCTGATCCATTCCTGATCCATTCCCGATCCATTCCAGAGTCATTCCTGATGCATTCCTGATCCATTCCAGAGTCATTCCTGATCCATTCCTGATCCATTCCAGAGTCATTCCTGATCCATTCCTGATCCATTCCTGATCCATTCCAGAGTCATTCCTGATGCATTCCTGATCCATTCCTGATCCATTCCTGATCCATTCCAGAGTCATTCCCGATCCATTCCAGAGTCATTCCTGATGCATTCCTGATCCATTCCTGATCCATTCCTGATCCATTCCTGATCCATTCCTGATCCATTCCAGAGTCATTCCTGATCCATTCCTGATCCATTCCTGATCCATTCCTGATGCATTCCCGATCCATTCCAGAGTCATTCCTGATGCATTCCTGATCCATTCCAGAGTCATTCCTGATCCATTCCTGATCCATTCCTGATCCATTCCAGAGTCATTCCTGATCCATTCCTGATCCATTCCTGATCCATTCCTGATCCATTCCTGATCCATTCCAGAGTCATTCCTGATCCATTCCTGATCCATTCCAGAGTCATTCCTGATGCATTCCCGATCCATTCCTGATCCATTCAAGAGTCATTCCTGATGCATTCCTGATCCATTCCAGAGTCATTCCTGATGCATTCCCGATCCATTCCTGATCCATTCCAGAGTCATTCCTGATGCATTCCTGATCCATTCCAGAGTCATTCCTGATCCATTCCTGATCCATTCCTGATCCATTCCAGAGTCATTCCTGATGCATTCCTGATCCATTCCAGAGTCATTCCTGATCCATTCCTGATGCATTCCTGATCCATTCCAGAGTCATTCCTGATCCATTCCTGATCCATTCCAGAGTCATTCCTGATCCATTCCTGATGCATTCCTGATCCATTCCTGATCCATTCCTGATCCATTCCAGAGTCATTCCTGATCCATTCCAGATGCATTCCCGATCCATTCCAGAGTCATTCCTGATGCATTCCTGATCCATTCCAGAGTCATTCCTGATCCATTCCTGATCCATTCCAGAGTCATTCCTGATGCATTCCCGATCCATTCCAGAGTCATTCCTGATGCATTCCTGATCCATTCCAGAGTCATTCCTGATCCATTCCTGATCCATTCCTGATCCATTCCAGAGTCATTCCTGATGCATTCCTGATCCATTCCAGAGTCATTCCGGATCCATTCCTGATCCATTCCTGATCCATTCCAGAGTCATTCCTGATCCATTCCCGATCCATTCCCGATCCATTCCAGAGTCATTCCTGATCCATTCCTGATCCATTCCAGAGTCATTCCTGATCCATTCCTGATCCATTCCTGATCCATTCCTGATCCATTCCTGATCCATTCCAGAGTCATTTCTGATCCATTCCTGATCCATTCCAGAGTCATTCCTGATGCATTCCCGATCCATTCCTCGCTCAAGTCTGGGATCAGTACAAGTTCACTTTCCCGGCAGTCGTGGAAGCACTCGTCAGATTGTGTGCATCTGCAAGAGCGGCCCTCTTCTCCAGACAACCGTCTTCCCGGATTTAAAATCACCGCTTTCTAATTCGTTTAAAAAAGAAATACATTTCCGCGAACCTCGGCGCGAGGCGTCTTCGGGCAGCTTCGGAGCCCGCTGAATTATTAATGGCACACTTTGTCTGGTAACTAAACACCCGCGGTGACATTGCAGAGCCGGTGCGGCGAGTCGGGAGAGAGGTGAGGTTGTCCAAACGCACGCCCCTCAACCACCTGCACCAGCCACCACTGGTTTACGGAGGCGCGACCCCGGCACGGGGAAAGCTGCTGCACTTGTTGCAGCTCATATTTGTTCGATACTCCCGTAGCGGGAAAATGACTAATATATTGTCCAGCGATATTATCAATTTTTATCATCATCATCATCATCAATCGTCGTCGTCATCAGCCAGGGTTTGTGCACCCACTGCTGCAATAACCCCTTTGGGAGGAATTCCCCCCCATCACCCCCTGCCCCCTCCACCCCTCCCAGATCTCAAACTCACTTTAATGATCGACAGTGAAAGCAACACATCCCTGGGTGGCTCCTCCATCGCGTGGGCACTGCCATCGCCGGAGAAGCCGCACTCCGTCACCTTTGTCTCGTGGGTGCCGATGCTGATGCCGTTCGTCATCATCATCATCCATAATCAATCCACTGATGGATGAAGGCCGACCCCAAGCCGTCACCATCTCCCACGCTCTTGCGATGGATGTAACAATCCATTGAGCTCCTAATCATTAGCTCCTGATGGTCATCTGGCTCAACCACCGCAATGTAAAAAGTATAGTTGTTGGTCTACAGCAACATTGGCCATACGAAAAAGAACATCGCCCGCCGATTTCACTGCTCCACCACCCTCTCTGACGTGTTTCGCTCCTTTGGTTGCCTCTTCTTCATTGGACTCGATCTTAGGCCACAATCCCACCTTGTGTTCTTTCCAAGTCCGTTGATTATTTGTAAACAGTGAATATTGGCCTCTCACTTGCGTATGTTCTCTCGTCCAAGAGTTCCTCTTCCCGTCTCGCAGTGTAATTTCAAGCGTGCATCTCCCCCTCACCCCGCCCCCCCCCCACCATGCAGGATGCCGGAGTGGTACCCATCTCAGACGAGCCGAGAGAAAGTCGACCCAAGTGTAACAAGAGAGGAGAACCACATTGGCAGCAGAGGTCATGAACGTGTAAACAGTAGGGCGAAGACTGGCAGGCAGGATTGGTCATAGGTGGGGTTCCAAGTGGTGAAGCAGGATGTGAAGGACTGTGGAGTTGATGTGGAGATGATTCCCCAGGGCAGGAAGAGGACCAAGATGGCAGCAGACCCCACACGAGTGGCACGATTCGAAGAAGAAGACCACGTTGGGAGTCGATTATTTACCCATCGTGCTTTGAGATAAGGTGACAGGTTACCTACCTGGGTTTAGGGGGCAGCAGTGATAGGGGTGATTTATCACGCGACTTACCCACAATGCTTCATGTTCTGAGGCTTGTCCATGCGTGCCGCAAGCCTGATCTTGATGTCCTGGTCAGGGCTGTTTTTGGGGACGGCCATCTTGTGCCAGTCAGCTGACTTGGGGCTGGTAGGCGTCGGGGTGAGCAGGACCTGTGAGAAGATGGGACCACAGAGCTCACCAAACTCTCCACATGCCACACCGCTCACCAAACTCACCACCACGCACCAGACGGCTCACCATGTACAACCACGCTCCCCAAACTCGCCACGTTCCGCACCACGTGACGTACGGTGTGCAACATTGATAACACAGCGTGCACTGTACGGTGTGGAGAGTGTAGCCTGTGGAGCATCGCGTGTGTGTGTGTGTGTGGCAAGCGGTGAGCTGTGTGGCGAGCTGTGGTGTGGAGCAGTAGCGCAGTGGTTAGTGCTCTGCGCTACGAACCCGGCTGCCCGAGTTCGATTCCCACTCATGACCAATGAAAGTGCCGAATATTCTGGGCCTCCCCTAGGTCGACTCAGCCTTAAATGAGTACCTGGTGTGTTTGTTGTATAAAGGTGGCCGGGCATAGTGCTGGCCACCAGCCCACCTGCCGCCTCGTCAGGCACTTGCTTACGGCACCGTCTGTTGGTTATCAATGAGCTCCGTGTTGCGAGGGTGGAGCGGTGAGCGTCGTTTCGAGACCGATACCTTGCCGAGCTCCTTGTCCTCGAGCGCCAGCACCTTGGTGCTCTCGGTGAAGAGCTTCACCTTGACAACGGGCAGCGGGTGCGTCGTCGTGAAGTCCCCCTGAGTGCCCCAGCTGTGGCGAGGGAAGACAGGGAATGGGGGGAGACAGTGCGACGGGGAGAGTGAAAATGAAATAAAATGTGAAAACGCGCTTGCCGTGCGTTTCGCTACGACGGCGCGCGGGAAACTGCTGACGAAGCTGGAAGGCAAGCTTGGGCCATGAGCTGGTGCCAACAACTGCTCAAACTCTGCGGTCCTCTATATATTAAGATGCTTTTAGCCCATTAATGAGTGTTCATACGTGTGGCAGAACACCAAAGCACCCGGAGGAAACCGACATGTACTGGGCAGGGGCGATGCAACACTTGATCCCCGGATAGATGGAAATCCACTTGCTGTACTGCCTCCTCCTGGCAAGCCAGGGTATGGCACCTCGACGCCCACAAGAAGAACGTTCAGAGCATTGGGCTTTTGTGATGAGCCACTTCGTTGAGCTATTATTTGTGGTCAGGTGGCTTCTGAACAAGAGCTACGCAGCTCAGTAGGCCTTACACGTGGTGAAATAAGAAAAAAGTTTAGTTTTGCAACATTCATGCTGTCTCCTAACCCTCGCGGCCTCCACAGCGCTGGATTACAGTAGTTTGTAGTCAATATTTCTGTCCCATGTCACCGACACACGTCACGCAGTTCCTCATCCTCACTCTGACCCTCACACTGCCCCAGCAGCACAAGTACAAAGACAGAGATAACGAAACCGCCCATCCCCCCCCTCGTCCCCCGAATAGCCTACACCTCACAGGCTGTTCGGGGCGAGTGCTGTTAAGCGAGCGCACACACGGGAGGCGCCAACGGCCACAGATGGAGCATCGCAGCCTTGTGTCGGCGTGTCTCAGCTTTTGCGATCGCGCACCGTGGCTTGGACGCTTCGGCCTGGTCGGTCTGGAGTTTGGCGCCGCCCTCCACCTCCATGGTGCAGTAGACGATGCGGTTCGGAGCCAGCGCCTTCAGCCCCGCCACCTCATGGATGACGATCTACAGCCGCACAACGATGAACAGCCAAGCGGATATAGATCCACGCGACCAAGCATCCGCACGAACCCGCAACCAAATAACTGCGCAAAGCCACGCATCCATACCACCAAGCGATCACACAACCACACAACTGAACATTGACACAACCAAATATCTGCACAAATGCATGTAAAAAAACAACAACTGAAAAATCACACAACTGCAAAACCATGTAACTGAAAAAAAATACACAATCGCAGAACCACAAAAAACACATGGCTGCACAACCGCAGGGGAGAGGAAAAGTGCCCAAGCGACAGCACAAAATGCTACAACACACCGCACGAGCGGCTGCCACTACACACGCACACACTCCGTCAAAGCAGACCGCAACACACAACTACACAGCATGCTACAACACACCCACACACGTCACACCACTTGACAACAGAGCACAAAACAGAAGGTCACAAACGTAAAAACACTTCACAACCACGAAACTATAATACACACAATGCTAGATTCCACACTACATTGCACAGCACAACACTTCAGAGGAACGTGAGTGGTGCAGTATAGTTGCTATGCCATCCATCCCCATCCCCGACCCCCCCTGCCCCTGTCAAATTCCCCCGTCTCTTCGTAGCCCAACACCTGCGCTGGGCCCCGGGGTTCAATTCCAGCACCTGCAACCTCAAGAGTGACACCAATGGATCTATGGGCCTGCATGCAAATCCGTGGGCGTCTGTGTAATCTATGGATCTCTATGCGAGTCACTGGTGACCATGTTTGGAACCATAAACTCGCGACACTTCAGAACTTGGAAATCGCAACTCGGCCTATGTAAGGCTTTGGGTTTCTATCGGAGTGTGGATCTCTCTCCGAGTCTACAACAATGGTGTAGCATGATCGGCAAAGATGTATTAAATGCACATTCCCCTCCTCCCCACCCCACCTCTTTACTCAACTATAAACTATTCAAACTATTTTTTTACTCATACGGTGAGGCCCACAGAGCTATATTGCTCTTTTTCAGACACGACCTGGCCACATATGACAGCTCAACGAAGTGGCTCATCACGTGGAAATTTATAGCATCCAAATACTCTAAACGCATGTTTGTAAATGTGAAGGGAGAAACTGGAGGACCTGGAGAAAAATCCACACAACCAAGGGAAGAGAGACATGCAAAATACAAATATACAGGTGTCTGGTTCGGGATCGAACCCACGACCTCCTTCCTATATACCAGGCGAGGTAGTTAAAATCTCCTAGCCACCGTGGTGCCCTCTGCCACCCCCGTCCCCTCCTCGTAGCCCGGCACCTGGGCTCCTCCGGCCCGTGGGAGGGCAGCGAGTAGTTGCAACGCCTGCACACTCGATTGTTCGGCCACCGCACAAATCCACGCACCATGTCGCACTTCCTTGCTGGACTCGATCCAGCTCCTCCCTCCAAAGCTGCGGGTCTAATTCCGGCTGCTTCCAAACCCTCATGACGTAAATACAAATTCCAAATTACGTGGGCTCCCGATTTTACGTGTGCTGCGATTAGCCGGGTCTCGTATTTAACGAGATCAACTTCGCTGGCTGCTCCCACGCGTGCCGCAATCCACCCAACCCACTTATCAATTACGCCGTCCCAGATTATCCGACAGATTGCCTCATCTCCAATCGCCCCACGGCGCAACCATGGGCAGCGGTGGTTTAGCGTGGCTGGCACGAGGCCTGGTGCAAGGATTGCAATGCCCCCCCTGCCTCCACTGGGTCCCTTCCGCCCCATGGGGCACCAGTGCAGTTACACCGCCTGCACACCCGAGAGCGAGGCCGCTAAGGTGCATCACATACTGGCTGTCCAATTCCGTTTTTGTTTGCAGGAGTTGCCAACTTTGCAAAGATCGACAGGATAGGGAAAAAAATGTATGAAGTCCTTCCAATAAAATATTCCGATTTGTGAACAAAGATAATAGTTTACATTTTCTCAAAAATGTTTCCCTATCTCAGTTGTTGGGGACTCATGAGAGCGTCAAGCCGCCAGAAAAGAAGCTCAACATTCCTGCTCGATGGACCATCTCAAGTTGCCAAAAAATGTTTCCGGGTGATATACAGTACCCCATATGGCATGTGGTAAACTCACACAGGCTCCTTCATACACAGCCAGAATCCGCTCACCGAATCTGCGTAAAGCCCTCATCCCGGAAAGACACTGAATTTGTCACCCGTCGCTTTGAGAGAAAAATCGTTCACTCGGGATCTCGCGACAACAAGTGACGAAGTTGGTAACACTGATGAGGGTTGGCACAGTAGGCTGGTGCAGTGGTATGTTTTCCCCCTGTTCTCCAGGTTATTCAAACATATCCTCCCCATAGCTAAAATAAACATACGTCACCAAGTGTTGGCCAAATATTCAAGTACAGCACCCTTCTTATCGAGAGTCTGCACGGCTTTCCCGGATAATGAAGGAATTGTCATTAAACCGTTATCAACCACCACCACGTGCCATCAACGAGCGCCTGTGACCTCTGACCTCGAGGTTAAAGGTGAGGACGACGTCGGACTTAGACAGCGTGTTCTCAGCCTCGTCGCCGCCCAGCTCCAGGAAGGCCGAGTTCTGCGAGCGTTTCATCTTCTGCATCTTGGGGTCGGGCCCGCCGCGCGCCACTGGCTGGCTCTCCAGGTTCGCCATCAGCTGGTTGACGGCCGCGCGCAGCTCCTCCACGTACATGGCCTCCATCTCGCGCTGCACCAGCCGCGGGAAGCGGCGCTCCTGCGCAAGGATGCACCACGCATGCACGCACAAGGATAAGACGGGGCGGTGATGCGGCCCAGCTGGAATTGGGGCGAGATGTTATCTCCCTCGCCTAGTATGGAGGAGGTCATGGGTTCGATCCCGACCCTGACGCCGGCTGAATATTTTTCTCCGAGTCTTCCGGTTTTCCCCTCCACATATGAAAACATGCGTTTAGAGTATTTAGCCGCTATACATTTCCACCTTATAAGCCACTTCGTTGAGCTATCATTTGTGGCCAGGTCGCTCAGTGAGCCTTCCCTGCCAAAAAAAACCCGTTTCATTTAGTTTAGTTACTTTAGTATTCCCCCGCTCGTTGTAGATGTTCGTGGCTCGAATCCGGCAGGCCGCCCTAGTTATTACTGCTTCACAGTGGCATCGTTCAAAACGAGTCGGCCATTGTGTGCCAGGCGTCAGGGTCCAAATTTGCCAAATTATAAAATTATCCGCAAACTACTTAATTGGGATTAAACATACTGGCAAATGAATTCCCACTTGCAGGCCAGCTGCTGAGTCACCTTGTGCTGGACAGGAGACAGCTGCTACTGGGGGTGTCCTTTCAAATGTTTGAGATGAGATGTGAGATGCAATTCTATCAACAATATTAGTGAGTAGCACCTATGAAGGCCGGCACGGCACATGAGGGGGTGGTTGGCCAGCACCACGCCCGGCTGCCTTCATCTCCCCACGAGTGATGTTTTAATACACCGCACAAAGTAATACTTTAAGGCTGAGTCGACCTAGGGGAGGCCCAGGACTGGTTCAGATAGTCATCACTGGTGTTAGCCAAGAACGGGAATCTAACTCGGGTCACCAGATTCATAGCACAGCGCGCTGACCGCTGCACTATCCCTCCCCACACACACACACATCCATACACATCCATACACACACAACAATACATATCCACACACACACACAACAACTGTCCCGGGGAATCTCAATCCTCTGAGAACCAACCCGGGTCTCGCACGGCAGGTGTACGAACATCGGCCCCAACCCCTTTGAAAAGAACTCGACGAGATGAATAAATAACGGCGCCCTCGATAAATCAATAAACAGATGCGCATCGCGTCTTAGACGAAGTGGGGAGAGTGCACAGCCGTTCATAATACACGAGGGCGGTTGGTGATTATAATTCACACGTGTGTATGTTTGATTCTACTGCCCAAGGTATCCTCTTTAATGTTTACAGGAGCCCATGGAGAGCCCTTACTGAATGCCCTTGCCAGCTGCTCCCAGCCTTGCCCCTGCCCCCCAAACGCCCCACACTCCCCCTCTTATCCTCTCACCTTCACCATCTGCTCGGCCATCTGCAGTCGCCCATCCAACTCCCTGCGGATTTGTGCTGCTTGCTCATCTGCGTTGTCCAACTGGGGTCATTGCGTGCACGCCACGGAGACGGGGGGGGGGGGAGTGGAAAAAAGAGAGGGAGAAAAGAGCAGCAAGGGATTCATTCCTTTGTCACCGAATCATTTTTGTTGCCAGGAACAGTGCAGCCATAGAGACCGGCCGAGATCTAGCAGGTCGCCTTGTTCGATCTCCAGGCGCGGCAGTTGAAACAATAAATGGCCACGTAAATTTTCAGTCTCCCCGCCCTCTGTCCGCCCAGCCGTACAGACGGGTGAGCCGCGGAGGAGTCAGTCGATCGGTGGGTTCGCGTGCGGCGGGGTAAAGTAACGGGCGGCACATGCTGGACTTGCAATTCAGGCTCGGTTCGGTCTGCCGGCGCGGCGGTTGTAGCAATGGGTGGGGATTTGTTGAAGCCCGACCGCCTCCGTCCACCCAGCAGTTGAGTCGGTCGGCAGATGGCACGTGGCAAAGATCCAAGCACCGATCGATGATAGAATTGGCCAAACATCCCAATACAGCAGGAGCCTCCTGAAGCAGTGTCTTGAGACTCGGTGCGATGCTCGTGGGTAAATAATTGGTATCATCATTATTTGTACAAATGATTATTGTACTATTTACATTAAAGGTGTGAATTACAGTGGCTCACAAAAGCAGGTAATCAAGGAGCATAACTCTTTACAATTTGCACCACTCGATTGCAGGGGGTAGAGATGGATTTGCTCCATCCCATCATCATAAGAAGTGGCGACGGCTTAGTGGGGGAGGCCTTCAGCCAGCAGTGGATCGATCATGGCTGATGATTATGTCGAGAAACTAATCGTGAAACATTGACCATGTGGATCAATTCCTCGCCCCGGTTATACAGAACCCACTTCAGAGGGACGATATTTATAGTTCTGATTGAAATGATTCCGATTCAAAAGTATCTCAGAAGAGCCTTCAAAATCACGATCCATCTCCCGGCGCCCCAGCCATGTAGCCAAGTGTCACAATGAGGAGTCTTCGATTCTATTTATATTTTTGTCAAGCGATTACCTTTGAGTCCGTGGAATTTCTGAAGTGTTTTTTCTATCTGGGTTTGTTACCGACATCAGCATAAGTGCATCATTACCATACAATTCGCATACATGATAAATAATCAATGGTGTTGCTGCTCCCGCAACCATGCTAATGTAAGGATGATGATGAATCTCATGTTGGCGATAGCGATGATGTTGTTGATGCTTATGCCTATATAAAGATGCTAATGACGATGGTAATTAAACGTCTATTTATTACTAAAGACGATGATGATGTTTACGCCGATCGTGTGACAATGATGAGAAAGCTGTTGATAAAGTTGATGACGATTATTCAAATGTAAATACATACAATGATGATTCTTATTGTGGCGAAAGCAATGATTCTTATGATGATTATACTGTTGGAAATGCTGTTAATTATGATGACATTTAGGATCCAGTTTAACAATTGGGCTTTTTTGACCAATATCATCCAAAATACAGGTGTTTTTTGGTTAGATCGCATAAATATATAAATGTGCTCTCCACCACACTGGTGTGCTGTACTAGTAAGAAATTGGCATGTTCTGTTTACGTAACAAACCTTACCAATTGGCTGTGTCCGCTGGCGGTGGGCTTAACGACACATTAAAATATTTACACGATCTGATCCAAAACACCTGTAAAATTAATTAGGATCCAATGTTGACAACCATGATGACGATGCTGACATTCTCCTGACTATGACACTCTGGCTTATGACGATGATGACGATGACGATGCTGTCGATGACTCCGCTTATGCCAATGGTGATGACCGTGGCCCTTATGCCGATGATGATGATGTCACCACGCGCTTGCGGTGTGTGCGGTCTTATTCTCGCACTGCTCCTTTGGGCAGCGAATTCTGTCAGCTCCGGTTAAATTTGCCAACCATCACGCCCGCGGCTGGCAAGGGCACTGGATGGCGGTGGCGGTAGCGGTGGTGGGGGCTTTGCTGGGGGTAGGTGGTGTGCGGGGGGTTATGGTGGTAATGGTGGTGGAGGTAATGGTGGTTGCGGTGGTGATGGTGGGATTGGTGGTAGTAGCAATGGGGATAACAGTGGCAGTGGTGATGGTGGAAGTGATGGACATAACGGTGGTGGTGGGGATCGTGGTGGTGGTGGTAGTGTGGTAGGTTGTGGCAGTAGCGATGGGGGCAGCGATAGGCGGTAACGGTGATGGGGTCGTGGTGGTGGGGGTAATGGTGGTGGTGATGGTAGTGGGGGTGGGTGCTGGGTGTAACGGTGGGGAGAGTGGTGGTGGGGGTACATGGGCAAAGGGGTACATAAAGAAAGACAGGGGGTTGGGGGGGGTTGCCACAGAAACAGCATTGCCACGGAAACAAGCTCATTATGACTACAGGCGAGGGGGAGGCTGCCACCAGCCGGTGTGACTCTATGCGAGTCAGAGTGCGGCATTGGGTGTGCGTGTGTCTGTGTGTGCGTGTGCGTGCGTGCGTGTGTGTGCGTGCGTGTGTGATGGGGAGCGGTAGTGTAGTGGTTAGCGCGCTGCGCTACGAACCTGGCGACCCGGGTTCGATTCCCGCTCACGGCGAACACCAGTGACGATTATCTGAACCGGTCCTGGGCCTCCCCTAGGTCGACTCAGCCTCAAATGAGTACCTGGTGCGATGTGTAAATATCGCCGCTAGGGAGACAAAGGCGGCCGGGCGTGGTGTTGGCCACCCACCCCCTCGTGTGCCGTGCCGGCCTTTATAGGTGCTCGCTAACAGCACTTTCCCCTACAGTCTGTTAAGGCTATACGGGGGATCTTTATCTTTGTGTGTGCGTGTACAATTTGTGGTAGTGCGGTGGTTTAGCGTCTGCTACGCCACGAACCCGGCGAACCGAGTTCGATTCTCACTCACGGCCACAAACACCAGTGACGATTATCGGACCCGTTCCTTGGCCTCTTCTAGGTCGACTCGGCCTCAAACGAGTACCCGGTGCGATGAGGAGTAAACATCGCCACTGGGGAGACAAAGGCGGTCGGGCGTGGTGTGCCTTACCGGCTTTTATAGGTGCTTGCTAACAGCACTTTCCCCGAAAGAATGTTAAGGCTATACGGGGGATCTTTGTCTTTGCTTTGTATGGATGTGTATTGTATGGGCAGGTATGCGTGGAGAGTGGCGATAACAATGGTCCGTGCAATGCGGAACCCCGACCTGAGTTCAATTCCCAGCCAGTCTTCATGAAACAATTAAAGCATGTATGTAGAACTTCTTTCACACCGTACACAGCCAGCCGTGCCAATCGGAGGTGTTGAAATGTGTTCTTTTATTTTACCAGGTAAGGCCCACTGAGCTATATAGATATTTTCTCAGACGCGACCTGGCTATCGCCAACGACAGCTCAACGAAGTGGCTTGTCGCGTGGGGATTTATAGCAGCAGCCAAATATTCTAAACGCGTAATGTTGATTTTAAATGCGGAGGGGGAAAACCGGAGGAGTCGAAGAAAAATCCACGCGACCACGGGGCGAGAGAGAGTCATGCAAACTACAAACGCTGTAATACTGGTGCAAGGGTCGGGATCAAACCCACAACCTCCTGCATACCGGGAAAGGAAGATAACAGCTGGGCACACCGAATCACATCTCGCCAGATGAGGCAGTGGTTGCTCACCCTCCACGTTTACAGCCCTTGTCGAGCCAGTGTTGGAAATTCCACATTCCTATGACGGGGGTTGGGGGAGTGGGGCAAGTATAGCCACAGCCCGTTTGTAGGTGTGCACATATATGAGCTGCGAGTACGTGGGGAGCTCTCTCCGCCTGTGACTGATTTAGGATGCTGTGATGATCTGGGCTTTGATCAGAAGAGACGTTTGATCTGCTAAACGAGGGGGGAGGGCGCAGGAGGTAACGCCCCCCCCCCCTCACGACACACGGGGGGGGGGGGGGTGGAGGAATTAATTCAAGCTGTCCCTAGATAAACAACATCGTGAGAATTGGTAGCCGAGTCAATTAACGCCCAGAGAGATTTGGGTTTAACCGAGGATTGGCAGAGATTGGGACCGCGTGGGCGAGCGTCATGAGCGAATTGTGACAAGCGCATCTGTGTTGACAAATTGCGTGTTGACAAACGCATGTGTGTGTGTGCAGACAGCTTCCACTTTTTCACGGTAAAAATAAACGCGTGTTTGTTTTGACACATTGACCAATTTAGCTGAATGTTATTACGTACGTTTTTTATGTTAAATCGTGAATATTATTTTCCCGAATCCGATCCTTGACATGACCGAGCATCCACTGGGATCTCTCGCGCAGTCGTCGTGCTAGATGTGGGGGGGGGGGGGGGGTGTCTCATCCAGCAGTGGATTGACAGAGACAACTGTGTGCACGTGCGCGTACAACAGATGACGTTACCGTATTTATTGCTCGCGTCACCGAGGCGGTAGTAGTATATCTTAATAAAGTGTCATTTGGTGCAACGGACAGACACGCTCGCACAAATACAAAGATCCCCAGTGTAGCCTTCAGAGACAGCCGGGGCGAGTGCTGTTAGCGAACACCTATGAAGACCACACACACAAGCAGATGGACGTGCAAGTAGAGAGACAGATGGACACACACAGAGAGTCAGATGAACACACACAGAGAGACAGATGAACACACAGAGAGTCAGATGAACACACAGAGACAGATGAACACACAGAGTCAGATGAACACACAGAGAGTCAGATGAACACAGAGAGTCAGATGAACACACAGAGAGACAGATGAACACACAGAGAATCAGATGAACACAGAGAGCCAGTTGAACACACAGAGAGCCAGTTGAACACACAGAGAGTCAGATGAACACACAGAGAGACAGATGAACACACAGAGAGTCAGATGAACACACAGATAGTCAGATGAACACAGAGAGCCAGCTGAACACACAGAGAGCCAGTTGAACACACAGAGAGCCAGTTGAACACACAGAGAGTCAGATGAACACACAGAGTCAGATGAACACACAGAGAGAGCCAGATGAACA